AGATTTCCACTGTTTATTGGATGAATTATAAGTGTTTTCCCACAGGAAAGTTGGAAAAAAAAAAAAGAATTATGAGTCTTTGCTTTTTTTTTTTTTGTCGAGACATGGTTTGACTATGCAGTTCAGGCTGGCCTTGAGCTCACTTTAGCCCAAGCTGGTCTCAAACTCACAATGATCATCCTGCCTCTGCCTCCCAAGTGCTGGGATTACGGGTGTGCACCACCAGGCCTGGCTAGTGTTTGGTTTTTTTTAGGTCTCATGTCTGACCTAGAAGATAGGTACCTTATTATCTTTATTTCATAGTTGGAACAGCATAGCTGATGAGGTTTAGAAAATCAGAAACATTTAAAGTGACTCTCACCAGGTGTGAGGATGCACAGACCTGTAATCCTGGCACTCTAGGAAGCTGAGGCAGGAGGACTGCAAATTGGAGCCCAATCTATGAAATTTAGTGATCTAGCAAGACTCTATCTCTAAATTTAAAAATAAATAAAGGGTAACTGAAGTAGATAGAGTGCCTGGGTTTAATCCCTGGTAAAGTGACTTCATCCACTGCCCCTCCCTTAGGATAATACCTCCTGAACGCTAACTGAAAATTCTATAAAGGTCCAGTGAATTCCCACACGGCATGAGTCAACAAGGCCACTGACCTGTGGAAATCTGACATCAGTATTTGAATAAATGAACAGGGCTAGTGAGTGACTTACCCATCAGAAAGCCACCAGGTGGTCAAGGACTAAGAAGCAAGACGCTCTTGCCTGGTTTTTAGGCCCCGAGGTAACTTGGCTTTGCTGTTCCATGTGGCAAAGTTCTTTCCTCATCAGGCAGGCTCCCTGCCATTTCTCTGCCGTGTATCTGCAGCCTCTTGTAGTCTCACCATGAGGACAGTTTTCCCTGCTTTCTCTCATCTGTCTCTAGCTCACATATGCTTCACGGTTCAGTTCCTCAGATGTAAGTCTTCTGAATGTATTTCTTCCATTCAGTGTTTCTAGATCACAAAATAAGGCCCACAGCTGGTGCAAGTACGGTCTGGTGCACTGCAGTTTGACCTATGTTAGCCTCCGTACCACCCCGTCCCTTCCTTTCCCAGCTCCAGTGTGAACTACTTGAGGAGTGGGAATAGTGTTGTCTGAGTATTTGTTTTCTCCTCAGGGCCCAGCACAGTGCTTACGTACTGTGTATGTCTAGTGTTCGAGTAGAAAATGTCCTTAAGCATTTGTCAATGAAAGATAAAGTGTCCACAAAAAGCTTACTCAACACTGGTGTGGACTGTTAGAGAAATAAAGATACGTGTGTAGGGGCTTCCTAGGGTTTGGGAGGACTGCCACCCACAACGCTGGCACCCCTGCAGAAGGGGACAGTCCCTGCCCATCTCTCTGCATCTGTTAGATGCAGCGAGGCCCACAGGTGCAATGGCAGCAGAGCCCAGGGCTGTGGGACACCTTCCTGCACAGGGCTGCCTTCTCCTCTGACCGCTCCTCAGAGAGCACACAGTCTGTGCTCTGCACTCTGGACATGAGGAGGCCTTGCCTGGTGTGGCAGTGCACACCTGTAATCTCAACTCTCTGGGCAGCTGAGGCACGAGCATCCCTAGTTCACATGGAGCCTGGCCATTGTACTGATTTAGCAAGATCCTGTCTCAGAATGAAAAAAGGATGAGATTAGTGCAAAGGCCCTGGGTTAAATCTCTAGTAGCAGTGGGGAGGAAAGGAGGCCTTGTGGGTAATGGGGAGTTGGAAGTACCAGGAGATGGTAAAGGGACATAGACTAAGACACAGCTGCCCTGATTAAGAGCAGCCAAGAACACTCTACCTGGCACAGCTGCTCAGGCTCCAGAGCCCTTCGCTGGCCTCTCACCACAGTGCAGGTCAAAGGTTATTTTGGCTTGGCCACAGGGAGGGTGAAGAGTGGACTGGCTCGCAAAGAAGAATCACCCTCCCAAGTCTGGCAGGCGCCTGGCTTCGTCTTCCGTCTGTTCTGAGCTCTTCCCTGTAGGCGTGTGGAGGGAACACACAGATGGGTCGGCTGCTGGGACTGGAGGGGTGGGGGAGGAGGCCTGTGGTGTGTGGCTCCCCTCCCGGGGGAGGTCCTGCCATCATCTTCAGTAGACGGCGCACGTTTTAAGCTTCTGCCACATGAAAGGCACTGGGCCTTTCTTGTTCCTCACGCTTCTCTCTTCCCACGTTTGAGTCTTGGTGAAACTGCTAGAAACCTGCCCCCTTTTCATGAGTAGCCACAATATACTCAGTCCTAGTTCCTCGCTCTCTCTTCAGTGGCCACTTCTCTACCTTCATCTGTTTGTACCCAGGGCTCTCCTGGGTTATTCTTTCTCTGAAACAGAGGGTTTTAAATTACTTGTTTTTGAACAAGTACTAAATGCCATGGCAGAAAGTTCAAAAGACAGAAGGACATTCAGTGACAAACAAACCTCCTTTTGTGTCATCTGCCTATCCACTTCTCTTTCTGGGGGCAGTTGCACTGTCAATGGTTTGTAATTTGTTGGGCTACGGATACTTCTGTGACTGTAACGAAGTTTGTGAACCCTATTCTTATCTAAATGCGTGACAGCATAAACACATCAAACTGTATATGCCATATCCCAAGAACCACAGATCCCAGGCTGGGCATGGTGGTACAAGCATGTAATTACAGCTCTTGGGAGACTGAGGCAGGAAGATAGCAAATTCAAGGACAAACCACCCTGGGCTATATAGTAACTTCAATGGCAGCCTGGACTACACAGTGAGACACTGTCACAAAGAACCCACCTACGGTCTGGGGCTAAGGATCTCTGCCTGTACTGTATACTTATACTCTTACTATCTTCCTTAATACAACTCGTAGTTCTCCACACAAAATGAAATGCAGGGCTCCTTTGCGTTTTGCATGTGTGTGTGTGTGTGTACATGTGTGTGTACCAGGAATTAAAAACCCAAGGAGCTCTGAGCTGTTATCTCCAGACCTCCCTGCTTTTTAAAGTTTTGAGGCAAGATCTTACTAAATGGCCCAGACTGATCTCAAATTTGCCATCCTTCTGCTTCAGCCTTCCAAGTAGCTGGGGTTATAGGCATACTCCACCATACCCCATTCAGAGATCCTTCTTCAAACATTTTAGCATTAAACTAGGTACAGGACCTGTGTGACTGCACAAGCCACACATCCATAAAGCTAGTCCTGTATCTCATCTTCCTGTGGCTTGTCCACTAACAACTTGATGGCAATTATGCTCACGTCTGTGAGCACTCAACTGTCCAGGTTGTTGCAGAAACTCTTCACATGGAAATTCTCACAGCACCTCAAACTCCTCAGTTACCCTCAACACACACACTCTTCCAGTCCCAAATCTGATTTCTTACCTACTCCTATTACCTGCAGTACTCTTCTTCTTTTAATTTACAGCACCTTTGCACTGAATTCCAGCCCCAGGCGCTATACTGAGAAATTTGCTAAGCTGCCCTAGCTGGGCTTGAGTTTGCAATCTTCTTGCTTCAGCTTCTCAGAGTGCAGAGATTATTGGAATGTGCCAACACACCCAGCCCTTTTATCTTTTCCTTATCTACTCTTTTGCCAAACCCCGTCAGTGCTCTAAAATCTATGCCTCATCTCCTTTTCCTGTCACCCCCCTCAGACGGTCCTTTGTCACCCTCCATATATAGCACTGTTACTGGCCCTTGAGCTCCACTCTCCCAGCACTGTTCTCCCAGGAGACCCTCCTGATCATGTGGCTTCCACACTCAGCAACCTTCACTGACTCTCACTTCCTACATAGTCAGGTGCAAACTCCTTTGCCTGGCATTTAAGGTGCTGTATGGTGGGGCCCCCAATCTTATTTTCCACACTCATCTCTTCTTCCTCCTCTTCATGTCCCTGAGGTTTCAACCCAACTGTACAACCATCTGGTCCCTCCTTGGCCCCATGTTTTCCTGCATTTTAGAATTTGAACTGCCTTCCTTGGCTCTTGTCATGTTCCGCAGAGTTTACACCTTGCCTGCTCCACTACAGCCATGTAATTTCTCCAGCTCTGACACCACAGTCAGCTGCACATGGCCCTGCCCACTGTGTCCCTGCATCTCTCCAGCTCAACTCCCATTTTTTCCCCAAATCCCTATTGGAAGAGGAATCTCAGGTGCAACTAAAATCATCATGAAACGTCAACCAACAGTGAAATCAATCAGCTTTGTGGCTTACTGGGTGACCTCAGGCGAGCTACTTAACAGTTTTATCCAATGTAAAATAGGTAGTAACACCTTATATAGCCATAAAGAACTAACAAACAAAGCCAGTGTATCACTAGGGACAGTGCCACTATTCAAATCATCTCATAACTCCTCTTTCAGAATGCAAGGAAGTCAGAAGTCTGGCCATCTTTCTTCCCACCAAGTGCTGGGAGGTGGGGCGAAGCCCAGCCCTGAGACACTCAGGTAGCTGTGCCGGCTGTCTAGGGTAGAAGAGAGCTGCTGCTTTTGCTCCCTTTGTTCAAACTCAGGGCTCAGGCAGCAGCAGGCGTGGGTGTCCCCAGGGGAGGTAGTGACAGCTTTAGTGCTCACACAGGTTTTGCAGGTGACAGCTGGGACTGTCGGGCCCTGCCAGGAGAGGTGCTAATAGACTCCATGATGCCCCAGTTAATGGGCTCCCGCCCCCCGCGCCCCCCGCCCCATGGATATGGGTCCCACAGAGAACCAGTTCAAGTCAAAGCTGAAACGTTCTGGGAGCTAAATGGAGCCTCAGGTGGGGTGAAGTCTTGGCGCCAGAGCTGCTGAACGACGTCTAGCAGGTCTGTTTCTCTCCACGTCTATTTTCTCTTTTTGTACACGCACAGTTATCTGCAAGAGCTCCGGGTCGCCGGAACTCTTACTACCACCGGACAAAGTTCCAGAGCCTCCTAGAGATTAAATTCCTTGCTCCTCTGGGCCCCCTGACCTTTCTCGTTTATAACAAGTTGCCATCCATATCCCTCCCAAGCCTGGGAGCTCCAAGAACGCAAAGTCAACGTGAACAGATGAAATAGAAAAATTATTTATTGAAAAGGGAAGGGATGGGTCCCTCGCTGGTGCCTCCTAGGACCTGGCCAGGGAATTGCCACCACTCTGCTCTTTCCAGCATTCAAAGGCAGAAAGTTGTCCTGGGATATAGCTCAGCGACACAATGCCTGCCTGACAAGCACGACATCGTGAGTTCGATCCCCGGTACAAAAAAAAAAAAAAAAAAAAGGCAGAAATTCTGTCCACACTTTACCTTTAATAACCTTAAAGGGAAGTACCATTGTGGAAGAGTAAATCACAGAATTTAATCTCAAGAATAGCACTTTCAGCCCCTTCCTGTTAAGCACTTAAGGGCCAAGTGGAGCAGCGCGGCAGTGAGAGGCAGAGTCCTCAGAAGTCTTGAGGAGCGGGCTCTCCGTACCTTACCTTTAACACTTAAAAGCGAGGCATGTTCGGTGTACAACGGAGGTCCTCTCCGTCCAGGAGGCTACAAACCGCTTTTCCAGTTGCCGTTTTTAGAATTTCTTTACCGAAGTGACCAAGCGTTAAGAAAACAAACCAAATACCTTCCAGGATTACTTTCCTTCCTGACCGGACCACTACCCCTTCCACATACCTCCCGGCCGGGGCAGCCGACCAGCGGAAACGCCGGGTGGTTCTGCGCGGTGAGGCCACGCCCACCACCCCCGCCCCTGTGTTCACCCCAGAGCATCCTGGGAGTTTTTGGTTTCCTAGACGGCCTCTACAAAAGAAGCTGGACCTGGGCAGAGGCAAGCTGAGGGCGCGGTGGCCATGACGACCGCAGTGGCCATGGCGACCACACTCAGAGCACTGAGAGGTCGTGACACGACCTGGAGCGTTGTTTGAAGAACTTGGCGTTGCGCGGCACCAGGTTGGCGAGGAAGCGCTTGGCCTTCTTGGTTAGGCTCTCGCGCCGCATGGGTGGCGCGGGACCCTGGGGGCTGCCAGACTCTGGCCGTCGGCCCCCAACGCTGCCTGAGCCCCGCCGGAGCCGGATCTGGCGCACCACGCCCTCGAAGAGCTCCCGCGTGTTGTGGTGCAGCGCGGCAGATGTCTCGATGTGCTTGCAGCTCAGCGTCCCGGCCAGGTGGCGGCCTTCTGCAGGAAGGGATCAGCTCAGGGTGGGCCTGTGCAGGTCCCCCGAGCGCGGCTGAAAGGGGCTGAGACTCGGAGCGAGAAAGGATCCTATGTTGGGTGGTGGAGGTGCGAGGTGGAGGGTGCAAGCGGCCTTGGAGGAGAAGTGAGGGCGAGCGAGAAAAGATTCCTGGGGCCCGAGGTGTGGGGTATTGGGACTCTGACCCTAAGCCTGGGAACTAAATGCAAGTGATTTCGTGTACCAGCGAAGGTAAGGCGACTTTTAAGGAGAGAGACCTCTCTGGAGATTGCAAGTATGGAATCATGGCATAGGCTCAGGATACACACCCTCCAGTGACACCTCCCGGGAGCGCGCCAGGTCGCTCTTGTTTCCCACGAGGATGACGGGTATGTCGTGGTGGGGCCTCCCAGCCCGGAGCCAAAGTAAGGTCTCTGGAACTTTGGAGAAGCTTCGTCGATCGGTGACTGAGAAGACGATGAGAAAGGCATCTCCTGTCTCAAGGCAGTGGTCCCGCAGCCACCCCCCAGAGTCTCCCTGCAGAGGAACAGAGAGCCATGAAATGTTAGGACTGGAGGCATAAAGAGACTAGCTCTGCGTCTCAAAGATGAGGAATCCAGCTGTGAGGCAGGAGCTTTCTGCGTTGGACAGCAGAGTTAGTTAATGGCAGAATCTTCAGACCTAGTGTGTTTGTGGAGGTAAAAGTCCTGCATGGGCATGGAGTACTTGTGGACATAGGATCCTAGACTATATTAGCCAGCCTATGTGTAAGTTCTTTTTTTTTTTTTTTTTTTTTTTTGGTCTTTTTCCTTTTTATCAGTAGGGGGTATCGGTACAGGGGATCGAACTCAGGACTGCCTGCTTGCAAAGGCAGGCACTTATGCCGCTGAGCTAAATCCCCAGCCCCTATGCTTAAGTTCTTAATTCAGAAAAGGCAGCTATAGTAACCTTATGTGCAAATGTTCCAAAGTCCTCACTCTTCCCCTTCCTGATTACTCTTGAGTCCTCAGCTCTTGTTACACACACTTCCCAGGCTGAAGGATTTGTGGATGGGGTCTGTCTCGGTCTGGCTTGAAGCTGCAGGGCTGGTCAAATTCAGATCCTGACTTTCCCCTGGGTCAGAAGGTCCTATAAAAAGTGGCTCTTTTGCCCATGGACCATGTGATTACATATCGGTATGGCTCTTTGCTCTCAGAGATGGTATAAAAGGTCAGGTTCCAGTATGTGTTGAAACCAGGGCCTGCAGTCCTGCTAGTCTTCAGCCAGATTGCCTCTCCCCAGTTCTCCCAGCCCTCATCACCTGCTTATAACCACATCTTAGACCTCACCTGTTCCCAGATGTCATAAACAACTAAAGTCACTTCCTCTTTATCCACCATGATGCGTCTTTCATATGTGTCTTCTGTTGGGAAATAGAGAATAAAACCCATTAGGATGTTCCCCAGAACTCATGAGACCTGGTAACCAGGAAACCTCAGATCCTAGGGCCAGGGAACCCCCTTCAAGGAGGCTGCCACAGAGAACAGTGGAGAAAGTTCTTTGGTTCTGTGGGGGGGGGGTGCTGCATATGCTTGGGGGGGCTGCATATGCTTGGGGGGCCTGCATATGCCACAAGCACATGGGTTCCTGAGTACACTTGGCCCCTGAAGGTTTTGCATTCTCCTGCATTCTCCAGTACCTGCATTCTCCAGATCATGCGTACTCTCTCCCTGGAGACCGCCAAAAGTGCCTGCTAGAGTGCTCTTGCCTACACCGCTCTCCCCCACCAGCATGACCTTGAATACTCCATCCTTTTGGGCTGCCTCTCCCGAGCCCAAGGAATCAGAAGAGCCAGAAGATGAGGCCTGAGGTGGCCAGTCAAGTTCATCTACAGCCTGGGCCCGCCGCAGTTGGTGCTTGTAGGGTAGAGGCATACTGCCTCTTCGTCTGGGAGCTCCAGGAGCAAGGGGTGGCCCGCTTGGGTCCAGCCCTGCTAACAGTTTCTCTGGCTTCTTCAGAAGTATAGCATCTGCTTCTAGAGGGCAAAGAAAAGGAAGCCATGAGTAGGGTGTGCCCAGCTATCTGCAGAGAGCTCAAGCTGTTTGGCTCCAGTATCAGAGGCCCAGTGCCCTGTTAACTGTGACCTAGAAGTTTTTCTTTTTCTTTTTTTTTGTCTTTTTATCAGTACCAGGGATCAAACTCAGGACTGCCTGCTTGCAAGCAGGCACTTATGCTGCTGAGCTAAATCCCCAGCCCAGCTGTGACCTAGAAGAAACAGAATCTTTGGCCCAACCTCTTCCACTAAAGTACTAAAGTCCCCCAGAAACCTGACCCTTGAGCTTCAAGGAGCTGGCATAATGGCTTCCCCATTATAGTTCTAGGCATGACCTGTTCACAACATGCCCCGAGCACAAGGGTACCTGTGCGCAGGCTCACAACCCACTCACACATACACTGACACAGGCACACCCCAAGCTAGGTCTCTGGCCCTGGGGATTGGGGAGGCTGTCCTTCCTTCCACCTTGGGACCCTGCCTCTTCTCACACTGGCAATCCCCAGGCTGAGGAGGAGCAGGAGGGATGAGAAACTGAAGCTGCTGCCCAGATTCCAAAGAGTAGGTGCTAGTAGCCTCAAAAACTTTGTGGGGTGCCTGTTCCAGCACTCTGTAAGATGATGCCTGTGTTGTTCTTTGTAGGTAGATGGGTGTGTGAGAGGCTACTTCCCCCAGTGCATGCTTGTGTGTGAGAATCTTTCTGCATCCGTGGATGTCCCTGTGGATGGCAGAGAATATTGTGTTCCAGGAGAGGTAGAAGTGGGGAGAGGGAGAGAGAGAGAGAAAGAGAGAGAGAGTGAGTTAGCCAGGGGGAGAGTGACAATGCATGGTCAGGGTAACCAGAGAACAACAGACACAACAAAGAGGGGTGGAGAGAGGCTGGAAATAGCCCAGGATCAATATTTGGCCAGCAGCCAGGGTCTCCAGGAGCCAGAAGAAACCCTTACAACAGGTCCCCAGGGTAGCCCCCCAGCTGTGGTTCCCAGGCTTGTGGGCTACCCCTTCCTTCCCGCTTCCCTCCAGGCTATCCCAGCCTGTTATGAATGGGGCTGACCCAGGGGGCCAGGTACCAGTTTCTCAAGAAAAGCCCTGGACTGGTGGGGGATGGGGCACTTGGGTAGTTCCTCTCCCCTCCACGACGACGACCCAGCCCCAGTGCGAGGGAGCAGGGTCTTCTCTACTCCCTGATTGGCTTTTCTTCTCTTGCTGATTGAGCCCCTAGTTCTGACCCTCCCTCCACAGCTTCAGCTCTTACTCCTATGGTTTCAGCTGGAACCTGCTCAGGTTAGCTCTCACCTGGTGTGGGTGTCCCTGGTGGGGAGGCCTGGTGGCTGCCGAAGGGACAAAGTGCTGTGGTTTCTGTGTCCGTGTCCATGTCGGCGTCGGGGTCTGTGTGCATCTGTGTGCGTGTGTGAGCACAGCCCAGCAGCTCGCAGCACCCGCTCCCAGTCGGCAGCACTGTCAGCTTTTCCGTTTAAGTACCACCCCCCCATATGCCCTCCCCTCAGACACCTGGAGGAATGTCCCGCCCCCTGATGAGGTCACATATGCTAATGAGCAGTGATGTCAGCGGGATTCCCTCCTTTGGCCCCCCCTCCCTTTTCTTTGTGTCGTTTTCCTCTGGGAGCACACTCACTGCAGTCTGGCTAAAGCAGGACAGAACAAAGTCAGTGGGGCGGCAGACTAGCATTCAGAGCAGACTGGGGGGGGGGTGCGAGCTAAGAGTGGCAGAAGGCAAAGTCCTGGGGAGGACAGAGTCTTTTCCTTAGGGAGCCAGAACTATGTCTCATTTGTCTCTGTTTCCAACCCCTATCCCAGTGGGTGCTCAGTGGCTAAACAGAGGGATGAGAGCACCAAGACTAAAAGCTGATCTGAAAGGCAAAGAGAAATAGGCGGAGAGATGCAGGGATAGTGCAACAGCCAGCACACCACTGCTCCATCCTGCCTCTGGGTGAAAAGGTGCAAACATACCCATTACCCAGCCTGGCCCCAGGCAAGTGGGGGCTCTCTGGAAGCCACTTCATTTGGGCAGCTTCCTTTACCATTTCCAGGTATTTATCTGCATTATTTCCTTTCTATAAGTCTTCAGGCACAGGGTGGCAGGTGGGTTCCCTGTTCTAAAACAATCATGTGGTGGTCACCAGAATTCCCACCTAGACCCTTCCAAGGCCAGTTTTTTATTTTACACTACGGTGCTTTCCCTGTTACACATATCATCTTTTGGGGAGGAATAATCTATTTTTGCTGTTCTCACCAGACTTTTCCAATGGGAGAGGCAAAAAGTAATCCTGACAGTAATGCACACTGATACTTCACATTATCTGAAGTGAGAGCAGGAAGGACTCCTCAGTAGCTAAAATACTCATGCACTTGCTCATTAGATAAGATCCTTCAGTCCTAATCACAGCTATTTATTCTCATTTTATTCACAATTTTAATGTGTCTATGTGTGTTCCTGTAGTAATAGATCAGAAGCACATTTAGAGCAGCAAGTGATTCTACAAAGGAAGAAAGGGAGGCACCCGTTCTTCCTTTTTAAAGGTGAAGATTCAATAAAGGACCTCACGCTAAGCATGTGCTCTGCCACTGAGTTAAAGCGCAGCACCATCCCCAGCCCCAAAAGAAGCAGGGTGTAAGATCACAGTCCAAGGCAGTGGGCTAACCTCTGACACACATCCTGCAGCAGGCTGTTTGTATCAAGCTCTCTAAAAGGTTGGTCAGCACTGGTCTATTAACATATAAAGTAGCACTGCACATCTCAACAGTAACAGCTTCTGAAGACACTGCTTCAGGGAAGCCATCAGTTTGTATGAATTACCCTCAGCAGTTTAGAAAATTTTATATTGTATTGCAAATCTGCTGAAGATTAGTGTAAAATTATAAAATTATTTCCTACCCAGAGGAGCTCTTTTCTAAAGTTTTGTTGTGCTGGGCCTTGCATGCACTAGGCAAGTGCTATACTGCTGAAAACTATATCGCCAGACCTTTTGATTTTTTTTTTTTTGTTGTTGTTATTGTTCTTTTGTTTGAGACAGGGTCTTGTAATGCAGTTCAGGCTGGTGGAAGAAGAGAATTCACTTTGTAGCCCAAGCTGGTCTTGAACCTGCAAAAATCCTCCTGCCTCAGCCTCCTGAATGCTGGGATTATAGGAAAGCGCCACCATGCAAGGCCAGAGCTTTTAGAGACAGGTTCTCACTAAATTCCTCAGGCTGGACTCAAAACTCACTACCTTCTAGACTTAAGTCTCCCAAGAAGCTGGGAACATACCTATGAGACACTGGTCTGGTGTAAGTCTTACATTGTAAAGGTACAAGCTTTATATATCTGGAAATTTCACCTGAATTGAATTCAGACCCTAGCAAGTTTTCTGCTGCGACTTTTGCCTCCCTCAATTCAGCCCTAAGCCACAGCAGGAGGCTGGTTTTTGCTCTGAGCAACCTGTCCCCCTCCTCAGGCTAAGGGGCTAGAAACTTCTGCTTGAGCACTTGTCCATGACCAGGCACCCTCAGGAATGGCAAGTTTCTGAGGGTAATGATATTTGGAACCAAACACTGCCAGGTATGAATCCTCAATCTAGGAAATGGGGTTGATTAGGCCTGTAACAGAGGTCTGCTGTGATAGTAGCTATGTGTGACAAAGATCCAGCAGAGCCGGCACCTAGGTCTGGGGCTTCGAGGCTTGTAGAACTTGGGGTTGTATAGCTGGCAGTCTTTTCCCCTCCTGCTGGAGCCTTGCTCAGGCTGATTCTGTGCTTTAAGGACTGTTATTTCAGATTGGAATCCACAGCTTAATCTTCATCTGCTGAGAACATCCTCCCTCACCAAGAGCCTTGACAAGGGGCCCTACCCCCAACAGGCACCTGGAAGAGTGGTATCATGAGAGGGTTTTGAGTTGCCCCATGCTAGAGTTTGAATATGGAAAGTGCCCAGAGGTCCCTTGCCCCTGGTTGTATTAGGAGGTAAGACCTAGGGGGTTCAAGTCCTTGGGGGAGTACTCTAAAGGAAACCAAGGGCCCTGGTCTCTCTCTTTCATTCTGCACTAGATGAATGGTTCTAACAAGGCTTGAGCTGCCATATGTGAGGCCTGGGTCAGCAGGGTCTATCCATCATGAACTGAAATCTCCAAAACAGTGACCCAAAAGAAATCCCTCTTTCTCTAAGTTGGTTATCTCCAGTACTCCTTATGGCGACATAAAGCTACTGACACCTTGTTTCTTTTTCCTTGGGTTTCAGTGAAAGCAAACTTGAGTGTGCCCCCAATGCCCCTCACTTGGGCCCTATACTCCTAGAAGAAAAAAGGTCTGGAATGGGTCAAGGGGTGAAGACAATTAGATCATGAGCTTTTGAAATGGCTGTGGAGGAAGAGCCCTGAGGGCAAAGGCTGGGTGACAGATGGGAAAGAAAGCACCAGGATCCTGCTTGTTTTCAGAGCCCAACACTGGGTGGGTCCACAGGCTGTTAGCCTTGGGAAGCAGGCCCAGAAGGGAGGGAGGACTGTGAGCAGCACCCAGGGTTTCCGGATGGTTTCCCATCCAATCTCTGGGACAGGCATGGAGTAAGAGGAGCTCAGTTCTTCTGTAAGCCAAGAAGCCAGGCCCAAAGGTTACACCTGGGCGCATACCATCTTTGCTGCTGATTCAGGTTCCTGCTCACCAGAAGAGGAAATTGTGTAATTACTGCTAGTGAGGATGTTGACAGGGTGTAATCCACAGGCCCCTCTGCCACTAGGCTGGGAATGGTCGGCCCCAGGGGAATGGTCCAATGGCAGATGCCTCAGGGTCTTTCCCAAGAATGGGCACGACCCCTGGTTCCTCCACCCTTCTGTAGCCTTTGTTCCCCTGTTCCTATCAAACCCTGCAGCAGCCACTATACCTTGCTCTCCAGGGACAAGGTTTCAAAATTCTACACGGCCAGCTCTTTGCCTCTGGCCACTGCTTATGCTGCTGCTTTTCAAGTCCAGGGGCTGGCCCTCAAGTGTTTGCCTGTCCTGTCTAGAATTCTCATATCTGTACCAACTGCTGAGAACATCTTTTTATTTATATGGAGACAGGGTCTCTATGTAATTCATATTTGTAACAATTCTCCTGTCTCCCAAAAGTATTGGAATTACAAGCATGCGTCACCACACCTAGTTAGAGAGCAATTTGGAAAGGGGATTCCTTTCGAAACAGGGTCTCATGAGGCAGTTCAGGCTGGCCTTGAGCTCATTTTGCAGCCCAGGCTAGTCTCGAACTTGCAATGATCCTTTGGCCTCAGCCTCCCAAGTGCTGGGATTACCCGTGTGTGCTACCACACCTGGCTAGCTGAGAGCATCCTTTACAATTCTGATTGAGCCCTCTTCCAGAAAGACCCCCTGGATTTGGTCATGGTGATGCCAGCACTTTTATATCCTGAATATTTGTGATTTTTTTTTAATTTATGGTTGCCTGCTTTGAGAGAGCTGGGCTGAGAGCTCATCTGCCTTGCATAGCACAGATGACTGGTGAGATGGAGGGCAGAAGTCACAGCTCCTGTGTGCCTCCAGGACAACCTGCTCCTGTGATCTGCACTTGAAGAGCACTTCATAAATGGGAACTTCCAAGCTGCAGGGGTCCAGATGGCTCCTGACTTCATGCCTGGCACTGAACAGACGACTGGTACTCACCCTTGGGCAGCGGGTAGAGGTGGAAGGGGCTGGTCCTTTAAAAGGGTTTCTTGAATTTGCTTATCTTCTGAATGACACAAAAATCAAGAATGGGGTGGCTGGAAGATGAACAAAAAGACGGCAGCAGGTGGGGCCTGCGCAGAGTCCCTTCTTTATGTAGAGGTAGAAGAGGGGGTAAACACAGGCTGAGATGGCAGGAAGGCAGGGCTCAGCTGATTTGTAAAATGTTAAAACTTATGATTCCTTTATTTTTTACTTTGATTTCCTGGGCAATGGCCTGGTTATGGGACAGAGATATTTGGTACGTGCTTTTTGGTAAATCAGGTTCTCTAGGGATGGAGGTTGGCAGAAGCTCTGGTTCTGCTTGAAACCTCCCCTTGGACGCTGGTGGGCTTCCAACCAATTGGCATTCTGCTGCTTAAGGCCACTTCTGGGTGAGGGTTTGGCAAGAATGGAGTGTCCAGGCCTATGATCCTTTAAGAACCATATGTTCCGGATAGCTGTAGGATGGGGAGTGGGTGGTGGTGGTGGACGGTGGTCTCTGGCTCTATTCAGAGAGGGGTCTCACTGAGCACTCTCCCTGCTGCAGGATGTCTAACTTTCAGCAGCTACACAGGTCAATGGGGGAAGCTGAGCCACCCTCTAGAAGGTTGTGCCACTGTGATTAGAGGCCAGAGGGTGCCAAGTCACCTCAGGAAAGCAAGGGCTCATCCTCTGCCTCAACCACCCAGACTCCTGGCTCAGCCAGTGGCATCAGCAGCACATCATCCTCATCCTCTGGAGCCAAGACTGCTGTGTGGGGCCCAGGCGGGGTCCAGGTTGGTCCTGGGGGCCATAAGCTTGGCAGGAGGCGGCCTCGTAGGGCCTGCACCACTCCAGACAACAGGGATGGCTCTAAAGGCACTGAAGGCAGTGGCCCCGGGGCCTCAGGGACGGTAGGGAGGGCTGGAGTTGTGCTGGCACACGGGAGAGGGGTCTTGATGGGCAGAGCAGGGGCTTGTTCCCCTTCCTGCCCACCTACTGCCCCACCCTCACAGGCTGAACCTGTGCTGCCATCCAGGCCTTCTGGGGGAGCAGAGGAAGGTGTGACTTGGGACCTGGTCTCAGGGGTCCGAGCTGAAGAGTTGATTCGAGGAAGCAGACCCCAGCGACGGAGTCGGCGAACCAGGCGACGCATTGAACGGCCCCGCTGGCGGCGGCGGCCACCTGAGGCACCCCCTGGGGTCATATCCTGTCGCAAGATCTGTAGCAGAGAACGCAGGTTGCCCAGCACTGAGTTCTGCAAGGAGAGGAGGTAGAGGTCAGTCAGAGGGCTAGCCAGGAAAGTGAAGGAGGTGCAGTGTGGGCCATAGTGGGGCCAGTACGGGATCAGTAGGGGCTGGAATACTCACATCATTGGGGTTCTCCGTAGGAAAGTCCTCCACAGGCGGGATGGCACCCTGTGCAATGAGCTGCCCATAAGAGGGGGGTGCCTGCTGTTGCACAATCTCAGCTTCCATCCGGGAGAGGGGTGCAAAGATGCTGGGAGGAACAGGGGCTGCTCAGTCACCGGTACCCCTGAGTCAGGGCAGCTTGCCCCACCCTGACAGGCCTCTCCCCACTGCACCCAGTCCAGGAGAGCTGGACCTACACAATGGCATTCCTAAATATCATCTGATGTCCCCTCCTTCCTTGGGATTGCTTTCCAAGAGCTAATCAAGGTGGGTACCCAGATAGTTGCCTGTAGTTGCACCAGTGGCATGGTCCCACCTTGTCTTGGTCCCCACACTTCTACAGCCAGCCCCACTTCCACTGACCTGTATTCCTGGGTGCGAATGGCATAGAGTTTGCAGGTACAGCCCAGGGCAATGACCAGCAGCAGGCCACATACTAGGCTGCCAATGACTGCAGCTGTGATGACCTTTCGGGGCAAGGCATAGGAACATTCCCACTCATCGCTGCCATCGGCACAGTCTGGCTGCCCATCGCACACCCATGTCTCATATACACACTTCTCATCTTGGCATCGGAAGTTGCCAGGTTGGCAGTGCCGGCATCGTCTCTCATCAGCTCCGTCAGCACAGAAGGTCTGGTAGTTGCAGCGGTCAGCAAGTAGGTAGCAGGCGGTAGCACCAGGGGTGCCAGCAACCCCACAGGGGAAGTGTCCGGGTGGGCAACCAGGGCAGCCCTCCTCATCCGTGCCATCGGCACAGTCCCATGAGCCATCGCAGCGCTGTGCATCGCTGTAGCAGCGTTCCCCTAGGCTTTCACCAGCCCCCAGGCCAGAGCGCAAGCCACAGGGCCGGTCCCAAGGCAGACAGTATCCTCGCACATGGTAGGTAGCATTGAATCCCCGACCACTGTTCTTAGCAGGTGTGTAGTAGGTCACAACAGCCTGGCCAGACAGTGTCTCGACAGTGACAGCCTTGCCATTGCTGAAGTGGGTTAGACTGCGGAGCAGCCGAGGTGTCTCAGGAGGCCCAGGGCCATCATACACATGCACTGCATCCCCTGGGCCCAAGTCTAAGGTGGTGAAGCGCACGGCCAGCCGCCGGCCATCGTGAGGGTCCAGCAGCCACAGGCAGGACTGGGGGTGGGAGACTGAGGAAAAGTGTGCAAATCCAGGGGAGGAGAAGACCCCATAGAAGTCCTCCAAGGTAAGATTGCAGGATAGGATAGGGCTGGCGTCTGGGGTCAGGCTTGGAAATAGGTCTGAGCTGCAACCTGCTTCATCAGAGCCATCGCCACAGGCATCGACCCCATCACAGCGCTGGGCAGCAGGAATACAGCGGTGGTTCAGGCACTGGAACTCTTCCTGCAGGCACATCAGCCAATCTGCAGAGGCATCATAGAGAAGGACTCTGAGGCACCAGCGCCTTGGGACCCTCTCCTCTTCTCCAGGTCATCCAATGTCTGTCTAATGGGCCCTCACCCTCTTGTCCAGCCTACCTTGGCTGTAGGAGAGCAGAAAGCCCTGGCCCATGGGTGCTCTGGCCCCAGCATAGCTGTAGGTGATGGTGACATTGCCCCCAGGCAGCTGCAGAGGGCTGGCAGGTGCCTCACACAGGGAGATCAATGGCTGAAGAGGAGAGCGCAGGAGTAAACGCTCTGAGCCACAGGCCAGGTGCAGTTTCTGGAACCTACAGAGGTAGAAGAGAGCAGGACCTGAGATATTCTAGACTGCCTCCTGCTTCTTCCACCTAGTGCCAAGAAGCACAAACAACTGCTTATCCATGACTCAAAGAGCCACATGAAAACTCAGAGTGAATGCTGGATGTAGAGATACCTGTCTGTAACCCCAGTACTCTGGAAGGCTGAGGCAGGATGACTGCAAGTTTGAGCTTAGCTTGGGCAAATATTGATTAGTAAGACCCTGTTTTCAAGATTTAGCAAGACCCTCCCCCACCCATGGAAAACTCAGCCAAATGTAAACAATGGGGACAGTCCTAACAGAGGCCATGGCACCATGAGATCACCAGATATATTCTGGGATCCTTTCGAACAACTAACTTGTATTCCAGGATTAAGTGAAGAACAGTTTTATTAAGAGAGCAAAAATTTTATTGCTTTCTGGTTGTTGTAGTAATATCATCCAACTATGGCTAGATAGTTCAACGAACCAGAACTCACTAATCCTCAGTACCAGCTGAGCAAGACTGACCCTCAAGGAGGCTCTCTCCAGATCGCTGGAGATCTCTCCAGATCTCTCCCTTTCTGGATAAATTCAAGGCAAGTAAACTGTGTGAAGCAAATAGCTAAGTATTCACCATAGACCTTGACCTGGGTAGACTTGGAATGTTTAACATATATGGGAGGAACTGGAGATGCAGCTCTGTGACAGAGCACTTGCCTAGCATGTGTGAGGCCCTAGGTTCAATTCCAGCATTATAGAAAAAATTCACACCAACCAACCAAACAACCAAGAAAACCAAAACAAACCAAACCAAAACAAAGCAAAACCCTGAAGCCAATAAAAATGATTATGACTAGTTGTGAATTTCAGGCATGTATGTATAACAGATTGAAGAACTCTTGAGAACAGTTTCATCTGAGGCCAAGACCATTTCAAGAGTGACCATGGTCTTTTGGAGATAGCCAGGCCTCAAACTAGATAGGCACCTCTGCCAGGCATGGTGGCACACACCTGTAATCCTACCCTTGAAGCAGGAGAATTTCAACTTCAGACCAGCCTAGGGTACATAGTGAGACCTGTCTCCCCCATCCTCTCCCAAAAAAAGAAAAAAGCCAGATGTGGTGCTGCATACCTGTAATCCTGACACTTTGGGAAGCTGAGGCAGGATGACTGGAAATTTCAGCACATCCTGGACAACTCTGCAAGACTCTCTTAAAATAAAAAATAAGCTGGGCCTGGTGGCACATAACAGCAATCCTAGCAATTGGAGACAAGTTCAAGGCCAGTCTGGGCTCTGGACTACATAGTGAGTCCAAGACCAGCCTGAAATGCATAACAAGACCTTATCTCAAAAAATAAAACAAAACAAAAAAAGCCCCAAAAGAAAGCATAAAAAAATTAAAAATGAAAGAGCTAGGAATTTAGCTTAGTGTGAAAGCTGTGAGTTTGATCTCAGTACTGGAAACAAACAACAAAAAAAAAACCCCAAACAAAAAGTCCACCTCAGTCTAGCCACCAAATCTGGCCCAGAAGGAACCCAACTTTTTGGCAAACTAGACCAAATAAAATTCTCTCTTCCTGTTGGCAAGGATGGAAAGGCTACAGAAGCTGACTCCTGAAGACATCCAGAGTGGGTGAAGAGGCAGGGGAGAGGAACCAGCCTGTCCTGCTGCTCACCTGACTGTCACAGTCTGCTCCTTGCTGCCCAAGATGATCCAGGTACAGTTGGCGGGGAAGCTGCGGCTGTCCCGGCCCAAGGGCCTCTGTAAGGTCCCCTGCACTTCCAACAGCAGTGCTGGGGAGTTCGTACAAGCTGGAGGGAGGAAGGTGGGGACACTGGTAGAGAGATCTTAACACCCCCAATCCTCCCCAGGCCTGTCCTTTTCAAGAAGGAGCAAGCCCCTGCCCCAGCCCATAACCTCTCTCTTCCTCTCCACACTCTTCATAGCTTCACCTTAACTATTACCACCATAAACAATGCTCAGGTCAACTTCATGCCAGCCCCTGGGCAGGAAGAGCAGGAAATACCGTCTCTACTCTGCTGAAGACTATTATTCTAGCAAGGGAGACTAAGCAGGGCTATTCCGCAGAAAAATGAAAGGGTACCTAACAACTACGAGGTGAGGGCCTGCACTGTACCTTAGTCCCCCATCTGTAAAATCAAAGATAAATAGTCTTAATAAATGGCCTTCATTCTAAAATCACAGTAGGTCAGTTCTAATGCCCAAATCCCACGTATAGCCACGGGGCTCCCTCTGCTTACCACGATTAGAGGAAATGGTCCGGTCTGGATGGGCCAGAGCGCCTCCTAAAGGGAGAGCCAGAAAGGGCAAGAGAGTAAGTGCACGAAGTTTTCTTCACCCGAACTCCAGAAGGAGACTTCCGGGTAGCTTCAGGGTAAGTGCAGAGGCGCTGAGGACTGCGATGTGTGACTTGGAAATAAGGCCCGCCGGCGGGGATCGTGGGGCTGCTAGGGTGATCTGGGAACGCCTGAGAGAGGTCCAGGGCTGTGCGGAGCAGCACCGCGCAGGGGTTGGGGCGGGGGACAGCGCTGGGAGCGACGGCAGGGCTGGGGGTCTCGGGCATGCAAGGCAGGACAGGGCGACGGGTGGCAAAGCAGGACACTGGCCGGGCCGGGCCCAGTGACAGCTCTGGCGACTGGGCTCTGGGTGGATCGTCGGGTCTCGGTTCTTACCAAGGAGGAAGAACAGAAGGATGGCAGTCAGCATCCCGAGGCGTCCGGAGACGCAGGGCGAGTCCCCGAACTCTAGTTGTTTCCCCAGCGGGGAGGCAGTGGCGCCCCGAGGGTCCAGGCTCTCGGGTGCCGCCGCCCCGCGGGGGCTCATGGCCAGGGCTCGACCCGAGCTCCGCAGGCCAGGGCTGGGGGCGGGGAGGCGGCAGCCGCCTAGGGCTAGGGGCGGAGCCTCTCGTCAACTTCCGAGTTGTTTCCTCCAGCCGTCGCCGCCCGTCCTCTCCTGGGGGCGGGCTCCGAGGTCCCGGGACTCGGCTCCAAGCAGAGCCGGGGGCTGGGGCGCGCCCTCTTCTACAGTCAGGCAGAAGGCCGCGAGCGTCCTCGTCCAGGCCCAGGCCCGGCTGCCACCTGCCGGGGCTGGCGGCCACTTCCTCTTCAGGCCAAACTTTGCCGACTGTCAGCCCCCAGGGATGGTCCACGCGCCGCTCAGCTTATCCAGCGCGTCCAGTCCTCAGGACGCGGCGGGGGAGCGGGTGGTGAAGAGGTGCGCGGCGCGATTCCCCGGCCGGTGCCCGGGCGATACCCTAGCCTGCCCGGGAGTTGGAGCGGCCAGGCGGAACGAGGGAGGGGGCCGGGAGCTTGGCCCCACCCCTGCCAGTCAGCGCCAACGCCACGCCCACACGCGCGCCTACCCTTTCCGGCCCCGCCCCGCCAGTCGGACTGGACTAGCAGAGCCAGCCCCGCGCCTTGCAGTGGTTTGGATGGAACCTGGTTTCTGTTACGGGACACGTTTTTAATGCGTTTGTCAAAGGACATAAGCATATTTCGTAACTGTAGAGTTTTTCCTTTGGTTCCTTAAGTTCTCAGTAGTTCTTGTCGCAGGGTCAGATCTAGCCGTATTTTGGGTGGTGAACCTTTATTGTAGCAGTTACCACAGGGGTTATAGTATTTGTTTATTCATAGTTCGCAACTCCGCCCCGCCCGATCCCTACTCTGAAACTTCTGGCCGGCCTGGACTGATTACCTTTACAATTTTGGGGGGGGGGGTCTTTTTCCTTTTTATCGGTACCAGGGATCGAACTCACGACTGCCTGCTTGCAAGGCAAGCACTTAATGCCGCTGAGTTAAATCCCCAGCTCCCCCCCCCCCCCTTTTGAGACAGTTTCATTGGGCAGTTCAGGCTGGCCTTGAACTCACTCTGTATCCCAGGCTGGCCTCCAACCCTGCAATCCTCCTGCCTCAGCTCTCGAGTGCTTGGATTACCTGCGTGCACCGCCATGCCCAGTGGACTGTTTAGCTTTGTACTCGCAGACCTGCTTTGCTACTAGAATCCAGTCAGAACTAGTAAATGGTAAATGCATGAATAAATGTGCTACTCCTCGTGCCTCCTGTGTGACTTTGAGAAAAATACTTAAAAGTCTCTGTGAGTCTTGGTTATAAAAAATTTAGAGTTGTTCCGCTTCCTCTTAAGGTTGTGAGCCTCTAGGGAGATAATGAAAGTTGAGCATTAACCATGCTGCTAGGCATAAGAAGTGCTCCATATCTAGCAGCAACTGTTATTTTCAGTCATAGGAGAAATTTCTAATATATCTGGGCTTGGGGTTACCGATTTCCTGTGGCAAGAACAGGTAATATTAATAAATATTAACAACTAGATTGTAAACACTTTGAGCTTCTGCCTTTTGGGCATAAGAGGAGGCTGATGAAAAAGATACAATGTGGGTTTAAATTTTAAAGATATTACAACAAAAGACACATTGCCATTAATCCCCCTGAAAATACTCTCCCTCTTTGGGACACATTTAGCCATTGTTCTTACTGCTTTCTGAAGTGGTTCTTTTGCTGTTTTTTGAGACATGGTCTCACAATATACCCCTGGCTGGCCTTAAACTCTTGGCAATCCCTCTGCCTCAGCCTCCCCAGTGCTGAGATAACTAGGGAGTGCCACTGGACCTGGCCTGAAACAATTCTGGATGTGTTGTTTGGGAGATGTGATTTAAAAAAAAAAAAAATACAGAGAATGGGCTGGGGATTTAGCCCAAGTACTTGCCTGGTAAGTGGGTGGTTGTGAGTTCAATCTCTGGGACAAAAAACAGACAAACAAACAAACAAAAAAACAAAATACAGTGAATGGCATTCAAAGGAAGGATACTAAAACATTATAATCCCAGCATTTGGAGAGGCTGAAGCAAGTGGATGGGCGAGAGTTTGAGGTCAGCCTGGGGTAGACAGTGTCTTCCAAGCCAGCCTGAACAACAGAGCAAGAGTTTGTCTTAAAAAAACCTAAAAAAAAAAAAAAAATTCCAGTGAGCCCCCACCTTACTCACTGGAGCTGGCACTGTAGTGCTTTTTACTGTTCCCCAAAGTCAAAATGACAGTGAAAGGCACCTGTTTTGAATTGATTCAGCACAACAAGGCAGTCATGCCAGCCTGGCCCACATAGCATAGATTCTATGTCAATGAACAAACAAACTTTAAACAAAAATGAGGCAGAAGGAAAAATAAAATACACAAAATAACGAAGACCTTAGAGAAATTAGGGGTTTCTGTAGTGTAAGTTTCAGTGGAATTACTTCATTGAGGTATAGCACATAGGTCTTGGCTGGGGATTTAGCTCAGCGGCATAAGCGTCTGCCTGGCAAGCTTGAGGTTGTGAGTTTGACCCCGGTACCAAAAAAAAAAAAAAAAAAAAAGTGCACGGGACCTGGACATCGGGTCCCTATAGGAAGGGCCTGTGGAAATGCTCTTGCAGACCTTTAAGGAATTGTGCAAAGTGGTAGAAGTAATGGATAATGAAAGTAATGGGTAATTGATATTTTGTTTTCGAACAATGTCTAATAACTTTTTTGTTTTTTTGTGGTGCTTTTATAGGCTGTTCACTATATATGAGGCAGTGTTCAAACCACTTTGGATTATATTAGCACATTTAATGTTCACCACACCCCTGGGAAGTAGGAGTTATGTTTCTCCTCATTTTATAATTGAGGAAACTGAGTCACAGACAAGTTGGATAACTTGCTCACAGTTAAACTATTACCATGTGCAAGAGTCAAGACTTGAGTCACACTATCTGGATCAGAGTCCTTTCTGTTAAAACTGGTAGATTCTAGTATTTTTAGAGCAACACCAAGCTAACCCTAAACCAGATTATAAAACAGTTTATGAACATACACAAGAGAGAGAAGGCATGCCAGTTGTTCACCTGCTCTCAGAATCTTCAACTTCTTTCTGAAAACTCCATTTCCCAGGTTCCCTTGCAGTGTGATTTGATTTCTTTTGAGCTATCGGGATGCACTCATGGGAGATTCTTGCTATTCTGTGAGCTACCTCAGTATCTCCTTTTTGGCTTTTTCTTTTTTTTAGCAGCTTCATATTTGTGACTATTTTTATGTTAATATCTTTTGTTTGTTTTTGAGACAGGGTCTTATACATTTCAGGCTGGCCTTGAACTCATTATATAGCGAAGACTGACCCCAAGAGGGAACAAGATAGAAGTCACAGTGCCTCTATCACAGGCAGTGTATATCTAGTCACAGGCAGAAATGGATATACAAGGCCCTCACTAACCTATACAAAATCTAAAAGCAACACAAGCAGGGCACAGCAACACATGCCTACCATTTCAGGACTTGGGAGGCCCAGGCAAGAAGGTTGCAAGTTCAAGGCCAGCTGTGTGTTATATAGCAAATTTAAGGCCAGCTTGGACTCATAGACCCTGTCTCAGCAAAACAAAACAAACAAGAATATCTAGCAGGGTAACAAGCTGTCCATTCACCGACTGGAACTCAGAGCCTGAGCATAATTTCCAATGGCTCTTGGCTCCCATATTGGGCTCTTTGTTCTCTCTGTCCTCTGGGCCAATCTTTCTTTTTCCATAAAAGCCCATGTCTGCAGCTATGTAATTTTCTCAGCCTGCTTTTTGCTGCAGAAGTTTGGAGACTCAGGGTCCTCTCCTCATTCTGTGTTGTCTGTGCCCCTTTTGATCCAAGCTGAGAATGTTTCTGTCGATCGGGCTTCCGCTGAGATGCTGAGATTACTGAGGGACGACACTGTTCAGGTTTTCCTTTTCTTTTTCTTCCTTTTTTTTTTTTTTTTTTTTTTTTTTTTGTTGTTGTTTTGTTTTGTTTTTGGTACTCAGGATTAAACTCACGACCCTGCACTTGCCAGGCAGGCACTTGTGCCACTGAGCTAAATCCCCAGCCCCCCTTGTTTTGTTTTTGAAATAGGTTCTCATTAGGTAGTTCAGGCTGGACTTGAACTCACTATGTAGCCCAGTGGTCAAACTCTCAGTGATCCTTCTGCCTCAGCCTCCTGAGTACGGGGATTACAGGTATGCACCACCATGTGTGGCTCTGTTTCGTGTCTTAAAAATCTCCATTGTTTGGGCTGGGGATGTAGCTTAGTAGCACAGTGCCTGCCCGGTTGGTAAATGTGAGGTCCTGAGTTTGATTCCTGATACCAAAAAAAAAAAAAAAAAAAAAAAAAATCTTCACTGTTTAACCTTTAATCAAAGGGCTTCCAGAGCTTTACCTTAGCTGCTTTTGAGAAATTTTTATTTTGTACATCTTTTTTTTTTTTTGGTACCATGGATCAAACTCACAACCTTGTACTTGCCCAGCAGGTGCTTACACCACTAAATCCCTGGTGAGAAATTTTTGTTTTGCAAAGAGATGAGATCTTACTATGTGGTCCAAGCTAGCCTTGACTCTAGGACTCTCCTGATTCAGTTTCTCAATTTCTGGAACTACAAGTGTATGCCACTATGCCTAAATCCTTTTGAGATTGTGTGCGTGTGCGTGTGCGTGTGTGTGTGTGTAACTGAGGGTTGAACCTAGGGCCTTTGCACTGAGCTACACCCCAGCCATATTTAATTGTAATTTTTTTGTTTTGAGACAGGGTCTCATTAAGTTGTTAAACTGACCAGTCTGGTGTGAATTTAGTGATCCTCTTGCTTTGGCTTTTCAGAATGCATGGTTAAAAGACATGCTCTACCATGCCCGACTTCTCAAATTTTAACAGAGGATGTTATAGTCAACCTCCCCCGCCTCCCTCTCCCTTTTGAGACATTGTCTCACTGTGTAATTCAGGCTGGCCTTGAACTCACTATGTAGCCCAGGCTGACCTCAACCTCATAGTGATCCTCCTGCCTCTGCCTGCCAAATGCTGGGATCACAAGCATGTACCACCACACTTGGCCTGGCCTCGTTCTTATACAGTGTTTTCCTGAGAGTACCCTGGATTTGATGTCTGCATAAGAAGCCATTTTTAAATTTAGTGTAATTTGCTATCTGGAAATGCTGATTTGAAATCTGGCTACACTTGCATTTGTTTTTGTTTAGAGAAGGTCTTGCTAAATGGCTCTTGAATTTACAGTCCTTCTACCTCAACCTCCTGAGCATCTGGGTTTCTAAGCATGTCCATCACATCCAGCTACCGGCTCCTTTTAAAATAGTATTATCCTGCGGCTCAACACTTCTCACACTTTACTATAAGCAACAAAAGAAAGCAGGTGCCACCTCCAACACTCTGCCTGAAAATCTCCTTAGATTTCTCATTCATTAGCCAGATTTTCTGCTTTCCCCATTGCTAAAGGTTAACTACTGATGCTCAGCTCACCATATAATGAGACTCCTCTTTCTCCCAGTTTAAGAACACCTCCTCATTACCCTTTAAATCTTTATTGGCTGCCCCCCCCCTTTTTGGTACTGGAAATTTAACTGACAGTTTCATGCTTGCCAGGCAGGCACTGGGCTACTGAGCTATATCCCTGACCTTGGCTGCATATTTAAAGGTCTTTGTGAGGCACTGGGGCTCAGCATAGCCCTTGACACTTGCCTAGCAGGTACACGAGGCCCTAGGTTCAATCCCCAGCACTCTGAAAATAGAGACCATAGTTCTACTTATAGATACTTTTTTTTTTTTATCAGTACCAGGGATCGAACTCACGACCACCTGCTTGCAAGGCAGGTGCTTTTGCCACTGAGCTAAATCCCCAGCTCCTACTTATAGATACTTCGAGGCATTTTAATGTTACGCTAACTTCCCAGAATCTTCCCAGTGTCTGCCTTTTGTCGGATTTCAATGTTACTTGTTTAGGGGTGGGTGGGGGGACAGAGTCTCTCTGTGCAGTTCAGCTATGTAGTTCAGGTTGGTCTCAAACTCACAGACATACTCCTGCCTCAGCCTCCCAAGTACATGAGCAGGCATGAGTCACCATTCCCAGCACTAAAATCATTTTTTTTTCTTTTTTCTTTTTTTTTTATCACAGTAACATTCTGCTTTGAGTGTTCAAATCTAAATTAAGTTTCTATGGCTGGTTGATCCATTCCCCAGAATTTCAGCAGTTTAAAAAATGAACATTTGACATTTCAGCATGGCAGAAGGGTGTGATATCCAGTGCAACAGCAGCCATTACAACAACAGTGAGTTTACAAGCTTGAAAATAAAAGGTAACACACCAAGGATGATGGCCTGGCACTATGGGAAGTAGCTTGGTCTTTGATGATACCTGGACCAACCTACTACCAGGCTTCTGGTTCAGTGAGATAATATGTATCTCCATGATTTAACTAGAGATTTAAACGCAGGTTCACTTATTGGTAACCAAACACATTCCTACTTGATATTGAAAGGTAAATCGGACTCTAACCCATGGAAGGACGATGGAGACTCTGCCACGAACAAGTTTATTTGGTGCAAGGGAGGGGTTGTCTCTGACAGACAGTGACCTGAGGGGAGGAAGTCAAGAGCTTCTATGCTCCAGGAGGCCTAACAGGTACATTCTGGGCTAGAGCTGCATTATTAGCATCTGTGAGCAGGCAGTTCTTGGAAAGTATGCAGGGGGCTTTGCAGGTTTGCAGGGGTGACTGGGTTACACCTTTTACCTCCCTCCTTCCCGTGCCCCAGAGCTTGCTGCTCCTTCAGATATAAACTATTAAAGTTAGTACGACACTGTTGTAAAGTTAGTACATGCTCCTGTTCCAAAAAAAAAGTTACATTGGGCCATTTTTTGGACCAATCTGAAAATTTCTTCAGAAAAGATGGAGGAGTCAGTAAAATGTTTAGGAGATGGAATTTTAATGGTTGGGAAATCATCTATGCTTTCATAGAAAAGGGAGGGAAGGGTGGAAGAACATGTGCAGCACAGGGCAAGTGAACCGGGAGTGCATCCAGAAGATGAGGGCCACCATCTTATCTAAACTTTTTTTTTCAGCTTTGTGAGATCCAAATCTTACCTAGACTTTTAAAGACAGAATTTTAAATCAAAATGAGAAAGGCACACTTCCTCCAATAATTTTTGCATTTAAAGCTCATTCTTCTTTTTTATGTCCCAGGGATCAAACTTGGGACTTCGTACTTGCCAAGTAGGCACTTATGCTGCTGAGCTAAATTCCCAGCAATTTTTGCATTTAGATCTGTTTTAATCTATGAAAATTTTCAAAACCTTTTCATGCCAAAATCCTTATAACAAATGTGCACCCATCCACACACACACACACACACACACACACACACACACACCCCTGAACATTTAGCAGAACGTGGTAGCACATGCCAGTAATGCCAGCACTTGGAAGGCAGAGACAGGAGGATTGCTGCAAGTATGAGCCCAGCCTGGACTACATAGTAAGTTCAAGGCCAATATGAACTACATAGCAAGATGCTATCTCAAAAAAAGGGAGGAAGGAAAGAAGGAAGAAAGGAAGAAAGAAAGAAAGAAGAAAGAAAAAGAAATCAAGAGCAAGAGCCTTTACACTGGCGTACAAAGCACTATGGGATTTTGCCGTTACCTGTCTGACGACCTCTTCTGCCGTTTTGCCTCTTCCTACGCTGTTGCAGTCACGTGACCCTGCCCCTTACTACAGCAAGCACGTTCTCACCGCAGGCATGGCATTTGCTGTTCCTTTTGCTTGAGTGTCTTTCTTCCTGAGAACCATGTGGCCTGTCTCTTCATTGCCTCAGGTTCTCCATGGGACCTTCCTTGGCTTTACTATCTAAAATTACACCCCAAAACCGGCTGTGGTGTCACACACCTGTCGTTTCAAGGTTCTGCAGGGTGGAGATAGGAGGATCACAAGTACAGGCCCAGCCTGGGCAGTTTAGTGAGACTCAGTATAAAAAATAAAAAGGTCTGGAGGTGTAGCACAGTGCTAGGTTCAGTCCCTAGCACTGAAAACAAAAAGAAACACAAACAAAAAACAATACTTTCTATTTCACTTCTTCAACTTCCTCTTTAACACTATCACTATCCACCCACTACACATTTTACTCACTTATTTACCATTTGTACTGTGCTCTCTCACAGGAGTGTGAGTTCCATGTGGGTGAGGGTCTATTAGTTTATGTTATGTCCTTAATACCAGAAACCATGGGGCCCTTGTAGGCACTCAGGAAACCTTTATAGGAAGAATGAATGCATCCTGGACTGCTGGTTGTAAGCATCATATGGATGGTGTCTTTTAATCCACACAATTATTTGTTTTTTGGTTTTTTTTTTTTTTTTTTTGTCTTTTTTGTTTTTATCGCTACTGGGGATCGAACTCACGACTGCCTGCTTGCAAGGCAGGCGCTTATGCCGCTGAGCTAAATCTCCAGCCCCAATCCACACAATTATTATTTTAGTCACTTTCCTGTCACTGAAAGAATACCTGACACTTGCAACTTTACAGAGGACAGGTTTATTTTGGCTTACAGGTTCAGTGGGTTCAGTCCATGGTGACAGGCCCCATGGCAGAAGGGATGGGGAAACAGGATGGAAGAGGAGAGTGGCTCACACCATGGTGACCAGGAAGCAGAAAAAGAGGAAAGGAGCCAGGGATGAGAATACACCCCTCCAAGTCACATTCCCACTGACCCACCCTTTTTGACCAGGCTCCACTTCTGAGCATGAGACTTTATTTAAACCATAACAATTACCCTTTCTATTACTGTTGCATTTTTTAGGGGAAAAGGTTAGAGGGGATGAAATCCAGGGGTACCCTGCTAGCAAGTTACATCTCTAGCCCTATTATTATTATTATTATTTTTTTTTGGTCCTTTTCATTTTTATCGGTACCGGGGATTGAACTCACGACTGCCTGCTTGCAAGGCAGGCGCTTATGCCGCTGAGCTAAATCCCCAGCCCCTATTATTATTATTATTGAGGGTTTTTTTTGTTTTGTTTTGTTTTTTTGTACCAGGGATTGAACTTATGACCTTGTGCTTGCCTGGCAGGCACTTTGCTGCTGAGCTATATCCCTGGCCCTTTATTATTTATTTTAAGACAGGGTGTTGTTAAATTGCTCCAATTGGCCTCTCCTCCCTCAACCTCCTAAGGAACTGGAATTCCAGACATGACTCACTATACCTGGCTATGAGTTGCATTTTAAGGATGAGGAAGCTGAAGCTCAGGGAGGATGAATTATACACTGAAGGTCACCCAAGTAGTAAAGACTGGATTGAAATTCAGATTGTGTGATTCTAGTGTCTTTGCCCCTTATTAATATAGGATACTCCTTGCCTGTACTCGAAGCCATACTTTAAGAGGTTAGTAAAATGAAACAACCTGTTACCAGAGGAAGGTAACAGAAATGTTGAGTTTTTAAGCCATGACATATGATGAGGTGTTTATGGAACTAGAAGGGATTTTCTTGATTTGTTTTGTTTTGATCCTGGGAATCAAACTCAGGACCTCATACTTGCTAGGCAGGTGCTTATGTGGCTGAACTATAACTCCAGCCCCTAGAAAGGATTTTCAGTTAAAATTATTTTTAAATTGTTTCAGTTTTTTCAAGGCGGGGTATTGTTATACAATCCAGGCTGGCCTTGAATTTGCAGTGATACTCCTGTCTCAGCCTCCTAAAGCTAGAATTACAGGCATGTACTACCATTCCTGGCCAAAATTTAACTTTAGTGGTAGAATACATGAAAATTTGTCTCAGCACTATGGGAGGCTGAGGCAGCAGGAACTACCTCAGCCTGGACAATTTAGCAACTTAGGGAGACCCTACCTCATGATAAGAAATAAAAAAAGGCTAAGGATGTGCTTCAGTGTGAAGGCCTTGGGTTCAGTTCCCAGTATTGCAAACAGAAAAAGAAGTTTAAAAAGTAAAAAAAGAGAAGAGGAAGAAAACCAGATTCAAATATTTGGCAAGTTGTAGGGTGGAGTGAAAGTGCATTTATTTGGTATAATTTGAAGAAACTCAAGCTGGAATTGACAGCAAATGAAGACGCTCAGCAGACTCCCTGTGTGAGGCACAGAGGCTGAGGGCTCCAGCTGTTGGAAAGGAACAGCCACAGCTGTCTGGCCTCAGAGCCCCCTGCGATGACTCCTGTATCAGGATGGAGACAAATCCCAAAGGACAGAGGCCAGGAGAGCCTCCTGGAGCAAGCTGTGTTAGGTGCTGAAACAAAGCCAGTGAAGGTGGAGGCCAGGAAAAGTCCCTGAGGTCGGGAAGGCATTTCCTGAAGGCAGCAGCTTCAGTGGATACTGTGTTGCAGCTGTAGAGACTGAGTTAAAGAGCTTGCCCAGTGGCCTGTGTCTGTAATCCCAGCTATTTTGGAGGCTGAGGCAGGAGGATTGTGAATTTGATTTCAGCTTGGGCAACTGGGTAACACTCTGTCTCAAAACGAAATTAAAAAGAGGAAAGGGCTGGGAGTGTATTTAAGTAGCATAGTGCTTGTCTAGCACACCCACAGGGACTTGGGGTTAATCCCTAGTAACTTAAAAAAATAATAACGGTGAAGGAATGTAGACAGCTTTAAAATTTTTGGCTTGCGAAGATAGGAAAAAATAGGGGAAATTATGCAGTATCCATATGTAGCATCCAGGAGAGAGCTTTTCAAGATGGGGAAATCTGTGTCTGAAGGAGAATGGAGTTGAAGAACCTGCCATATGGTCACAGGAGGTGGCCTGTCCTTCAGCAGCGAATGAAATGCATTTTAACCTGTTATATCACAAAACTAAGAAATGCGAAGATAGTTTCAAAAAATACTTCGTATATTTAGAATATTTACACTTAACAAATGAAAAATTTTAGCACAAACTGCCATACAAGATACCTATAGTTCTTTCATTTGTTTGCTTTTTGGTTTTTTGAAGTTACAGCTTTAGAAACTTCAGGACTTTTATGGACCCGAGACTGGGTGGCGCAGGGCACAAGCCTGGAATTGCAGGACTCTGAGGCAGGATTGTTGTGAGTTCGAGGTCTGCCCGGGCTACACAGTGAGATTCTGTCTCAAAAAATAAATACATAAAGCCGGGCATGGTGGCGCTCTCCTGTAATCGCAGCACTGGGGAGGCTGAGGCAGGAGGATCCTTGCAAATTTGAGACCAGTCTGGGCTACAAAGTGAGTCCAAGGCCAGCCTGAACTGCTTATCAAGATCCCGTCTCAAACAAACAACTGCTTAGCAAGACCTTGTCTCAAACAAACAGACAACTCAAGTAAAAATAAAAAAGGAGAGTGGACAGGTAGAAAACAGACAAGAGAGAGATTGGGATCAAGGGATTCTCTTGGTTCTTGGGTGGGGAGGAGGAAAGGAGACGGTGCAGGTTATAGGCCTCCATGACCCACGAGGGTATTCTCTAAAGGCCTCAGGGAGGCGACACAAAACTGTCCCGCTGTTGGGCAAAGTGGACAGGGAGCTCCCCTGGCCCGGAGGGACCTTCTGTGATAGCGTTCTGGTTCTGCAAAGTCTCACCTGGCCTCGACCCTGCGGCCTAGGACACTGGCATCCTGGAGCGATCATTGTCGGAGGCATCCACTGGGGGGCAGTGTGACACCCAGGAGCCCAAGGACGGGCCCGAGAGCAGCGTCGCCCTCCCCTGTCCCCCAACCTGCGCCTTCCCAGAGGTGGCGAGCGCCGCGCTCCCTGCAGCCCCCGCAGGCGGACGGAAACTCTGACCTCGCTCTCGCCAGCTGGCAGCCTAAGAACGGCTCGTCTGCTGGTCCCGCCGGAGTCCCGCCCCTTTAAGTACAGGTGTCGGGGTGGAAGCGCGGGAGGGGAAAGGGGGAAGGGCGCTGAGGGTGCGGTCCAGGCCTGGGCTGGGCGGGCTCCGCGGGTCCTGACGCCCAGCACGAGGGGGCGCCACCGCCCTCTGCCAGGCGGGTCTGCAGTTGGGGCGCCCACCACCCTCTGCTGGGTGGCCGACTCGGTGGTGGGGGTGCAGCTTGGGACACTCTGCAGCCCAAGTCGCAGGAGTGTCCGAGGGTTGGGGTATCAGTCATGGAGCTCCGAGGAGTGTAGGTAGGAGACCTCTCTGCGGGGCCCAGCAGGCCAGGTCACCGCGGGACTGGGGGACGACCTGAAGGCATAGTGTTTTCAGAAAAAGCTGGGTCAATGCATCTTAACACTGAGCCCTTCCAGATAGGGAGAGGTTAGAGTTGGGAGTCCCTGCAGGGAATATGAGCCTCTTTACTCCAGTACAGTTTTTCTTTCTTTGTAAAAAGATACTTCTAAGGGCCAGGTGTGGTGGCCCACGCTTGTGGCGGGGTTAGCACTCTGGAAGCTGAGGCAGGAGGATCCCGACGAGTTCACGGGCTGCCTGGGCTACCCAGTGAATTCAAGGCTAGCCTGAACCACACAGCAACACCTTATCTCAAAAACCCAAACCAAACCAAAACAACAGAAACTTAAAGACTGAGGTAAAATTTACAGTGATGGTTCACAAAGTCCACGAAGTTTAAATGTACATTCCAGTGATTATTTAGCTTGTGTATTCTCTGCTTACATGTACACAGTTCTGTACCTAGGTATACAATACTTACATAATCACAGCCTTCACTGTCTGTGTGTGTTTTATCACAGCTTCCACTGGACATTCAGTGCAGCAGGCTTCCTGTGGACCTCCAGTGTGCCCACCACCACATCACCCTTTTGTAAAAGAAAGGACAGAGAACATGTATCCGTGGCTGTGAGGGAGGTTACGAGTTCTAGAAATTCCTTGGGAGAACTGTGCCATCAGAGGATAGTAAAGGCGGGTAACGGCTATGGGATCCATTTCCAGTGGCCAGAGTTTGGCGGATCTAAAGCGCGAGGAACAGTCCCTGGTGTCTGAATAGACCGTCCTAGCTCAGAAGCCCAGAGTTTGCTGGATCCAGGCCTTGTGCTCACCCCAGCCACGCTCCTAGAATAGTCAGGATCTGAGTGTCGCACGCAGTGCTTATGCGCTGCCTGTTGTATGCATCTCTGGCAGCGGGGTGAAGGTGATGTTGGCCCCAGAACAAATGCAGGCAAGTGAGTCTATGTCTGCTTGGCCTTTGGAGCACAGGTCTTTCCTCCTCTTGGTGAGCTGCCTGGCCTTGCCCTGCCCAGGCCCTTCCTGCCCCAGGTCTGGGAAGTAAGTAAGTGGGAAATCCAGTAATGGAGCAGGATGTGACCCATGGTGAGGCAGCTCCCAGATGTGGTCCAGTCCCTGAGTCAGCAAACCACTGTGGGCACTCGAAGTAAGTCCTTCCGTCCATTCATTGCAAGGTCTTGTGCTCTGCTGTTCTTCCTACCCAGATGCCCATCTGGTTCACTGTCCCTTTTGGGATAGGGAGCTTGCCGCCTCCATCCTCCTCCAAGCCATGAAGAACCTGGGTGGCCGAGGAATAAGGGACTTTGCAGGGAGCTGGCCTCACATGCAGGTGGAAGAAACTGCTCCCTGGGGAAGTAAGGACAGTCCCCGCCTGAGGTGTCTTGTGATGCCACCGGGGAACCTGCAGGCCTAGGACTGGTGGCGGTGGGGAGGGGAGGGGGCCTGGGCCTGGCTGGGGAAGGCTGGCCTGGAAGGCGCTGAGCCAACGGTACTAGGTCAGGGTGGAAAGTATGTGTGTGATCTCATTTGGAAGGTGGCTTCGGGCCAGTCAGGGCTGCCTTCCCTCCAGGCCTTGGCTGCTCAGCCCCTTGCAGGCTGCCTGTGGGTCTCCCTACTCTAAGACTGTCTGAGCAAGAAGGCAGAACGCCCAGGGGTGGGCCTAGGAATGCAGAATTAATCTCCTAAAGAGGTGAATTCAGATTTGGGGACAGTAGGAAGGAGGCACCGGGGCTTCTGGGCAGTAGATCAGCCTTGTCTGGGGTTTCTTGGGGGCCTTAGAGAATGGTGACCATCTTGAAGGCCTGTACCTTCTCCAGGCCCAGGAACCCAGATTTTCGCTGCTCCCATCCTTTCCCTGTCCCTGGCATGGTCTCTTGCAGCCCCACTTGAGTCTTGGTGCCTGCTTCAGCCCCTAAGAAGGATGGGGGTGGCACAGCAGCTTCCTGAGGAAGAATCCTTTCCCCCACACAGATGTCGCTGATGGTGCAGTGAGCAAGCCCACAGATGCTGACCGATGTAGGACACAATACCACAGAGACACCCAGCTACGCAGGGTCCATGCTGGAGAGACAACCCAGGCATACTGTCAGAGTCTGATTGTGCAGACAAAAAACAAAACAAACAAACAAAAAAAAAACAACAGAAAAAAACCCCAGACCTAAGGCTTTAAATTTGGAATTAAAACTAAGGTATATCATGTACAGGTACAGATCCCCTACAATGAATGTGATCATTATACAGCTCTAAATTGTACCATTAAACTTAATTGTAATTTAAAAAATTTGGACTTACACACATTGAGCCTGAGTAAATCATTTATCTTTCTAGGCCTCAGTTTCCTGATCTGTAAAATGGGGGGCATTTTAGTGCTTGTGTCATTGCATGTTGTGGGGACCTCAGCAGTTGCCAGCTGTCCCTTTGCTGAAATAGGGAGGTGTGTATGGAGGGGAAGAGGATTGGGAAGCCCATCAGATTGTGGGCAGGGTAGCCTGAAGTAGACAGTGAAGCATAGCAGGGCCAGCCAGATTGTGCGGGTGCCCAGGCCTCTCTCTTCCAGAGGGCACGGTTCCTCTTGGATCTCCTGGCCCCAATCCACTGACCTAGCACCTGGCTGGCAGCCCTGGAGGCATGGGCCCAGCTGGTGGCAGGAGCCCTTAATGAGGAGGTAGGGACAAAGGAGCCCCACAGCCCCCCTCTAATGTGTAGGGTACAGAGGTGGGCAGAGTACTGCCCCTTCCTGGCCCTGGCCCTTAAGCCAGCACCTCTGTAGACCTGGGTCCCTGGGATCTGCCCAAACCTCCTTGCAGATTCCCCTTGGCTCCCTGCTGGCTGCTCCAACTCACATGTGCTGCTTTCGAATAAAGGAACTTGGAACCATAGAAACTGGGTCAGGCCAGCAAAAGCAGAGTTTGCAGCCCTTGAGAGCTACAGGGCCCTTTAGCGCCCCACACCCTAGCCTGGCCAGGGGTTCACTGCAGTGGTGCCTTGTGATCACCAAGACACCTCCCTGGGTTGCAGGTGCCTTGGTGGGGTAGGTTAGACCGGCCCAAGCACATCAGAAGCACAGGACCCCAAGCCACCCGCTTGAGAAAGAACAGAGGCAGGGCCTGGGGAGCTAACCTGAGGCCCCGGAAGGCCAGGCCAGCGCTCTAGCCCTGAGCTACCATCTGCAGCCCTCACTCCATTGGGCTGTTTCTGAAGTCGTCTTCCACTTTTCCCCCTTTGTTTCTGGTCTTCACTCCATTCTCTCCCCCTTGGCTTCAGAGAGCATCTTGTGATTCCAGAATCACGGCCAAACAATTTCCTCGTGATGGAGAAACCGCACTCCAGCCACGGGAGCCTGAGGCTCCCCCTCTTCCCTCTGGCAGGCTCCCCTTTCCAGCTCCTCCACTGGCTCCAGCTGTGTTTTGCAGAACTCCCACTGGATAACATCTGTAATTGCCTCCAGATGTGGACCACAAAAACACAAAGGGACATGAGCTCATCTTTGAGTTTCTCGCCACACACATACCCCCCCACACTGCCCTGAGCTCCCCATACTGCCTTTTCAAGGTCCCTGTCCCGCTAGTGAGGGTGGCGAGATAGACACACATCAGTCCTACCAAACAGCTGTTGGCAGGGGAGGTGCAGGAGGCCAGGCCTGGGGTCAGGGTTCCTGGCTGGCAGGAATGTGGGATACCCCTCTGCCAAAGCAATCATGCCAGCAACCCTGAATAGCTGCTGGGTGGATGACTGGCATAGGTGGGGCCAGAGCTCCGCCAGGCAAGCTGTGGAAGGGCCTGGGCTGGAGCCCGGGTGGGCTGGGCTGAGGCAGGAAGGGAAGGGGGGTGAAGAAAGGGGCTGCTCGCCTCCAGCTGAGCTGACTCAGCAACCAAGCCCATTCCACCCTTGGGCTGCTTTTTGGAGGAAGGGTGGGTCAGTAGCTGGGAACCCCATCTAGGGCAGCAACTCTAAGGAAAGAGGAAACAAAGCTTGGTTATTCTGCCCTTCCAACCTGGCCACCCTAAGCAACTGAGGGGAGACCACTGTTTGCCACGGGCAGGGACCTTTTAATAAGCTACAGGGCAGTCTCTCTTTGGAGTCCTGCTCCAGCAGTGGAGCCCCTGGCCCAGAAAAACCTTCCTAGGCTACTGAGGCTGCCAAAGACAGGCCTCAACCTCGGCAGAGAGATGTTGGGGAACTCACGGGCTGTGGCCAGATCACACGGTAGGGTAATGCAATTTAGGAAGATTTTCCAAGTAGCCTCAGCTTGACCACTTCCTTTAGCCTTCAGCAGCCCTATCTTTTTGAGACAAGGTTTCATCATGCAATTCAGGCTGGCCTCAAACTTGCAGGATCATCCTGCCTCAGCCTCCCAAGTAAAGGTAGCATTTCAAGGCAGGTTGGGAGTGAACAGTTGGCCCTAATAGCATATGACCTGCTCCCCAGTTCTGGGCCCTGAATCCTCTTCGTATGCCACTAAGAATAAACATAATCTTTTATGAAAAATCCCCAAACCCCACCTCATGGAAAACTCTGTTCATGACGCCAGCTGTCTCCCTTTCCAGCCCCCTCTCAACCGCATCCCACGTGCCCCTATGCAGAACAGAACTTGAGCCACACAGAGAATGTGAAACACAGTTTATTCTTTGTGGAAAGGTTGAACAAAGTCAAAAATGTCCTTAGAGGGCACTGACCCGGCCCCGCCCTGCAGGTTTCTGGGGTCAGATGCCTCCACCTCCCTCCCCTCCCCCCTCCCCATGCCCCTTAACAAAAAGAAACAACTTGAATGGAGTTCATATATAATAATTATAATAAAAATATACATTAAACAAAAAAACCCAAAAAACAAACAAGACAGAAATTTAGCCGAACTTCCAGCACCGTTCACCCCATTTCCCCTACCCCCACACCCTACCCCCAACATCCCACTCCTCTCAACACAGGGTCTCGTTCTTCTAAGTCCCCAGTACCGTGGCCACGTCTGGTGGCTGAAGGAGACTTCTGGTGGGTGGGCCAGGTGGGCAGAGTGAGGGCAGGACACAGCGAGGTGGGCTGACTGTGGGTGGCAGGGAGGTGCTAACCCCCCATGAAGTACCCCTGGGCGTGGTGAGGCAGACTGCAGGCCCCTGGAATCTCCTCTGATCCCACGAGTAAGTGGCCTCTCTCCCGAAGGTCCCCAAGTTCCTAGTGCTTGCACTTGTGCCTTCTTAGCTCCCGTCTCCCTAAGGTCCCCAAGTTCCTAGTCCCTGAACTTGTCCTTTCTTGGCTACTGGCTCCTGCCCATCCCCTTGTGCTGTCTAGTCAGCAAGAAAGGGGACACAGAGGAGCCCTCCCCGGGCACCACAGCCCAGCCTGCGGCCTGCCAGCCCCCAGCCACCCACTGCCGCTGCCCATCATTCCCATCCCCGCCGACTGCTCTGCCTCAGGTCCTGGCCCCAGCTGCCTGCCATTTCACCAAGGCTCCTTCTGCGGCTACCAGGCTGATGCCCAGGACTCCAGCTCTGGTCCTCCACTCAGCCCATTCCAGCCTGGGCCACATCCCTGGCCTCAGCTCTCCAACCCTGAAATCCCCATCCGAGGCTAACATTTGAGAGGGGTTGGGGCTGCCAAGGGTTTCTTCCGCCCCAGCTTAGTCCTAATGGCTCAGGCTCCTCCTTTGGATGGTCTCCAGGGTTGAGGGCAGGGGGCAGAAGCAGATCTCTATGAAGAGGAAAGTGACCATCCAAGCCTCCAAGACCCTCTTTGAGCTTCCACCTAGATCTTAAGGTGGCAGAGCAGTCCTTCCCCTTACTTCCCTCACGGTCTCTGCCACCAAAATTAGATTCCTTTTAGCCAAAGAGTGGTGGGAGGCTACTAATTGGGGTCCACCTAGGGTGTGTGGGGCTGGAGTGCCCAGAGCCTCCTGAGGTCAGAGTTCAGAGGTTTAAGGTCAGTCAGGGGATGGAAAAGGAACAGATGACCCCATCTGACCTTCACCAGTGAGGTCCGAGGGTCCTGCCTTCAAGTGCAGAGCCCCCACGACATTCAGATGGGGTTGGACACACACAGAGCTGTAGGGGTCCCCTGAGTGCCAGAGGCTAGAAGGGGCTGCCCTCTTGCTCAGCCCTCAGGGGCCCCAGAAAGGGAAGAAGCAACACCAGGGTGAGGGAGAGGCCAGGCAGGAAGACAAGGCAGGACAGGGGCTCAGGATGGGTAGGAGCAACCCACCCACCACCATCTGCTGCTGCAGCCCTGGAGGCAAAGTCCTTGTGGTAGGAGTGGGTGGGCGGGCAGTGGGGGTCAGACCTTGTCCAGCAGAGAGCGCTGGCAATACAGCAGTCGCTTGGGGGTCCCGTGGCGTCTGAAGAAGAAGACTGCGAGGCCCACGGCCAGTACCAGGAGCAGCAGCAACACGGGCAGCACCACCGCGGCTGCATTCACAGCCCCGCTGCCCTCCTCCTCCACCTCGATGATGATCACCTCTGTCTTCTCAGTCCCCTGGTCCGGCTGGTCCGGCTGGCCCCCTGACGGGCAGCCCATCCAGTCTCGCAAAGCCGACTTGGGGTAGCCCGGCTCCACCTTCAGTTTCTGGTTGTTGAATTTCCAGTATTTATTCCCCTTGTAGAAGTAAGTGAAGACTGGAGGGGTCAGTGCAGAGGTGGTGAGGAGAGCAGATGCGTGTCCAAGAAGGCCCCAGGATGAGAGTACAGAAGACAGTGCAGTTAGGTGAGCGGCAGGGCCAGCCGGGCTCACTGCAGCTGCCCGGCCTCCGTCTCACCTGTCCGTCCTCCCTCCTCTGTTTCTTTCTTCCTTTTCTCCCCTCACACTGGAAATTGAACCCAGGGCCTTGGCACTGAACTATACCCCAAGCCTTTTTCAATTCTTTTATTTATTTATTGCCTTTTTCAATTTTTAAAAATTTAGAGTCAAGTTCTTGCTAAAATGCCCACTCTGACCTTGAACTTCCCTTCCTCTTGCCTCAGCTTCCCAGAGTGCTGGGACTGCAAGTGTGCACTGCTGTGCCCAGCTCACCTCAGTCTTTCTAAACATCACTTCCTTTAGCTGTGAAACTGAGCAGTCATCACAGCAAGTTGGAAGGGTGGCAGGGACAAAGTGGTAGATGTGTCAGAACCCCGAGTCTGATGCCCAACCCACGGGAAGCACGGTGCTGTCATCACTGTGGCTCACGCCACACTCTTCCTTAACCGCGCTCCCCTCCTCCTCCTCCTCCTCTCACAGACATGCTCCCTGCCCGACTCACCTTCATCGCTGCCCATGAACGACCCTCTGGGCGAGTCAGGGATCCCTTCCCAGACTTTGATGTTTTTGGGGTACTCGCTGTCTACTGCCCTGAACTCCTCATTGAAACGGTAGTACCTGGGGGAAGGGGTGTTTGGACACTTAGCATGATTTCAGATGGCAGCAGGACCCAAGGTGGCACAGTCCAGTGAACAAGGGCTGGTGTGGCCCGAGGTAGAGAACAGGCCATTCTGGGTAATGAAGGCCCACAGAGGGAAGTGGCGGCAGGAGGAAGTGGGAGGTAGGGACCAGTCTGCAAAGAGCCACCAGTGGCCCTTAATGACAGTGCCTGGCGGTTGGGTTGGAGCACAGCACTGAGCAGAAGGCATCAAATGACCAGGTCTGAAATGATGACCCGGTCACATCCCACTCAAGCAGCACCCAAGGAGGCTGGCCATTTTAGGCAACATCAAAGGTTCAGCTGGGACTTCTCTAGAGAAACATTTTGTGGGACAAAGAAGGCCTTTTTCCAGACCATGGGGGTGGGAGTGATGGTGTTTCTGAGGAGAGGGGCCTGGGGTTAAGGGCCCAGGTCTCACTTGTTTCCCCGGAAGAAGTAGGTCTTTCCATTGGGCATCCAGAAGAGAGCTGCATCAATCCTGTCCGTAGGTAGCCCTCGGCCCAGCTCCTTGATGTGCTTGGGGTAGCCGGGTTCCAGGGAAGCCTCGTCAAACACCCAATGCTTATCTCCTGCGATGGAGGAAGAAAGGTAGACTCTGGGTTCAACCTGGGTGCTGGGGTCTTTGGAAGAACTCGGTTCCTCCAGGGAGACCCTGCCCACTCCCAAAGAGAAGGTGGACTGCCCGGTTACCTTTGAAGAAGACAAATTTGCCATCTTTCCTCTCATAGGCAGTGTTGATGGATGCTGGCAGGCCCCTCCAGAACTGGCCAATGGGCATTGGATATCCGTCCATCACCTGGTTATTCCTCACTCGCCAGAACCAGCGCTCCTGAAAGCCAGTCAGAGTAGAAGAGCTCTTTACATCCTGTGGCTTAGTTCCACTCCTCAGCCCCTCAGACTCCCCTTAGATTTTAACAAGGGCCAGCCCACCTGTGGCTGGTCCTGCCCCACCTCCCCCCACACAGCCCTTTCATTCCCTGAACCAGTCTACTTCTTACTCACCTTGAACACAAACATCTCCCCTCGGAGCATGGCCACGGTGTCAAAGTTCCCGTCACAGATGTTGGGTCCATAGGTGGGATTTTTGGGCTTATCGGGGACAGAGGGCCGGGAGGTAGTCCTGGGTCGAGGGGGCATCTTAGTGGGTAGCCCTGACTCACTCCCTGGGGGACAGAACAAGAGGAATACTTCAGACTTGGAAGGACAGACAGATGGCCAGAAAGTGCCTTAGAAAAAAGGATATGGATAGGTCCCTGGGGGAGGCTGACACAATCAGCTGGAGGTGACAGAAAAGGTATGCTCCATGGTGGGAGTTGATGAAGGCAGGGGCAGACAGTGTGTGCGTGTGTGTGTGTGTAGGGCACAAGAGAGGGAAGATGCAAAGACCAGAGACCCAGAGGGAATGCAGTTTTGGAAGGAGCATGTGTGGGTGTAGATTACTCACCATAAAGTTGCTGGATGCCCCGGCGGTCATCATCAGGCAACACAAAGTTCTCTGTGTCCATCCACTGGTAGAAGGGTGCCATGATAGCCGAAGGGTCATTGGAATGCTCCAGGCCCAGAGCATGGCCCAGCTCATGCACAGCCACCAGGAAGATGTCATTCCCTGGAGGGATGGAGATGGTGAGACAGCAGCCTAGATCCCTTCCCTTCTTCTACCACACGAAAGTCAATTGGCCACATTTTCCACCCAGGGGCCAAATCCTGAGGTCCTGATTCCTATTTGGCACATAAGGCACAAATCTAGTCAGTAACTGAGGTGGAGTCAGAGTACTCTGAGCAGCAGCCCAATCCCAGAAAGATCTGTGTTAACAGTTCGACCTGTAGGATGCTTTGCAGTCTTTCATTGGCAAGTCAGAGAGTGAGTGAGAAGAGACCAGATGTAAAAAGCTTAAAACAGGACACTGGCTTTTGTTAGACTGGGAGATCTTTGTGGTCCCCTCTAGCCCTCGGACTTTGAAAGAGGAGAATCTTTCCATAAATGACTGCCGGTTCTCCCCAGTGTAGGACCCAGGGCTCCCTCACTCACCATTCAGATCCTCATTCCGGACAGTCCAGGGCTCAGCAGAGTCAAAGTGGGTGTCCCCTCCAATGTTGGGGCCTGGGAAGTAGGCATGGGCCAGGAAGCCACCCTCACCATCAAAGGGTGTGCTGTCGCCATGGAAACCCTCAGCAAACAAGATCATGATGTCGGCCTGCTTCTCATGGCCCTCTCGGATGTAGGCATAGGGTACTTCTCGGAAACGCAGTGGTGTGGCACTCTCCCACACGCGGAATGCCTTGCGAATTGCCTCAAATGTGGCATACTCGCCCACCTTGGGGGTGTAATTCTGGATGCTGAGGTCCAGCCATGGGGGGAAGAGGATGGGGTATGTTAAGATAACAAGGGGCAAAGCTCTCCTCCCCTGCACTTTCCCAGGTCTGAAGCTGCCCAGCCCCTTGTGCCTGACCTGCACCTCCTGCTGCCTACGCACAGCACCTCAGCCCCAGAACTGTAAGCTTAGGGGAGCCTCAGGCTTTGGCTCTCAGGCACTGGGGTATATGCCGGTGGCTGCTCTCTCTTCAGGATTACAGCCATTGTCCTCCCCACTCCCCAGGAGGCTTCCCAGGAATGTAGGGGAGAAGTGCAGGGAGTCTCTGGGTAACACAACTGATAGCGAAGGGTACCAGATGGGAGAGGGGTCCCTGGCCTGTTGGGACTCACCAGAAAGTGATCTCATTATGCTGCCACTTAAGGCCCTGGATGGCATAGCGCTTCCTCCGAACATTGGCCTTGATCTCAGCCCCAAACTTGTCTGGAACACCACAGCGGGGGCGCATCATGGCCCTGGAGTGGGAGACTGGGGTCAGTGTGGAGTGTGAAGAATGAAGACAAAGGACTGCAGGGGAGAGGGTGGAGCCCTAAAGCGGGCCCTGGATCCTAGCTTCTGGCCCCAGCATCAGGGCAGGGCTGGCTGTGTATGTGTCAGTTTGAGGAAAGGCCAAGGTTATGAGGTCAGGGTGACTCTGAGGGGGTCCAGATCAGCACAGGCATTCACGTGGCAATATCTCTGGTGCACAGCACTGCCAGCTGGTGCTGGGCAGAAATCCTAATGGGGTGGAGCACTTACCTCATGGTATCCGCATCAGCTATGCCTGTCACCGGCAAGCCATAGAACTTCTGCATGGCAGCGATGGCAGCTGAGAGGGACTGAGGTGAGCGCTGTGTGTGGGTACGCAGGTCCCCAGGAGGCAGGTAACCATACTGCTGCAGCCAGGCCTGCAGGGAGAGGGGAGTTGCATAGAGCACCCCCACTTGGCCAAGAGCTGCATCTGCATCCCCATAGTCCCTGGCAGACAGGCAACTTTGGCACAGTGAAGAAGGGCGATGTGTTCCTAGCCTGGCTCTGGTGCAGAGTCTGGAGGAACTCCCAGGCTGCTCTGGCCTGGGACCCAGAATGGCTTGTGCTGTTGGGGCTGTGAGCGCAGATAGGACTGGGCACCCATGGCTCCGTACTGGCTGCAGCTTTCTTTTTTTTGGTGTGGGGAATTGAACTCAGAACCTCAAGTTTGCCAGGCAGGCTCTGCCACTGAGCAACATCTTCAGCCCTGCAGTTTTCTTGAAAATGAGAGCACTGGTTGTTTAACAGAGACTTCTACAATCTTTTTAGAACTGAGATTCCTTGCAGTACTTTGATTTCGGGTCAGTGTTCTTGCAAATCCAGCAAGTCCATCTGGAGCAGTTTGTGTCCATGATGGGTACAGGAAAATGTCAGGGCTACACTTCTGTGCACAACACAATGCTCTCCTAGAACAAAGCCGCTTGTCTCCAGGACCCTCACACTGATATCTTTTGAGAAAGGAGAGGAGCGAAGGTGCTAGGGCTGAGGCTGGCTGCTGACAGGTGAAATGGTGAGAGGTCTGATGTAGCCATGTCCCCACTCAAGCACCACTGAGCTAGGCCTTGGAACCTCAAAGCCCATTTAAGACTTTCAGGATGGTGGAGGAGATGAGGGAGACAGTGAGATTCAGTGACTGTAGTATTCTATTTCAGGTATGCTGTGAATTGTTCACAACACAAAGGCTGGAAATTGCCCTAAATTAAAATTAGATTTTTGGGGGCTGGGGATTTAGCTCAGTGGCATAAGTGCCTGCCTTGCAAGCAGGCAGTTGTGGGTTCCATCCCTGGTACCGATAAAAAGGAAAAAGACAAAAATAAATAAATAAATAAAAGAATTAGATTTTTGATCAAAAGGTATGCACACTGCAAAGTCCCACCGAGGAAAAAGTCAGCCTTTATTATAAGAACAACGGAGTATTTTGCTAAAGCCTGAAAAGTAAAACAAGCCAAGATACATATGAAGATGCTTGGGATTCTCTTTATATGGAGACATGACCCAGACAACTCTGGTCCTTGGTCCGGATTTGCCTTTTTAAGAGTCCAAAGGAAGCTACAGATTGCCTAGGCCAGGGACTTGGGAAGTGAGAAGGTGAGGAGGTAGGGTGCTGCACCCCCTACCCATGGTCTCTAGGATGGCTCTCCCCAGGGTCCTTCCCATCTTGGCCCAAGCCTGGGTGGTGGAGCAATGCTCTTGTACCAGGAATGGGGGTGATTCAGGAGCAGCTGACTGGGGACCTGAGCCCGCAGAGGCAAGAATTGCAACACAGTTTTGGGAAATGATCCCCCAAGGCAGACAGCAGTCAGGGCTGCAGATATAAACAACCCATTCTTTTTCCCCAAAAAGCTCTGACAGCCCCTCTTCAGGGGTTCAGGGGTGAGTGCCCTGAACCTCTGGTGTACCCTGGGGAAGCCCATCAGGGTGCTCTGCTCAGGTCCAGAGGTGATCTCTGAGAGCTGTAGGCTTGCCCTGACCTGTGTTGACTGATGGCATTGTCAGTGCCCTCAGGAGGCCTGCTGTAGCCTGTACCCAAGTATGTGGGACACTCCCGTAGTCCCTAGCCTCACCTGTAGGATAGACACACCCTGGACTTCTGACTATTGGGGGAGCATCTGTTTCAGGACTAGGGGAAGGACAAAGACCCACTTTTACAGCTGGAAGTCAAGAAGACTGGAGGAATGCCCTCAGAGAGCCAAGCTGAGGGGAAGGTGCCTAGGGCAGGGTGTTATGTGGGAGGGTGACAAAGACTTGGGCAGAATCCACAATCTGAAGCTCTGGGGTAAATCCCTCTGTGAATCAAGAGGCAGGCAGGTCTAAATATTTACACCCACAAGCCCTGCCCCGTACCCTGTAATGAAAAATGGTAGCTTAGTTCTGAAAGGGACTTCACTTGAGAGCCACAGGCCTGAAAAGGAAGTGCCCGATCCTAGGCCTGGGCAAGTTTTTTTCCCTCCATCTCACGGGGGCAGGCTTGGAGCAAAGCAAGAACCACACAGACTATGAGGTCGGAACCACAGAAGAGAGGACTCTTGTGTCTGCGGCGGGATGGGGGAAGGGCAGGGTGCCAGACAGGCCCAGAGGAAGAGGAGAGGGTCGTGCTGAAGCTGGTGCAGGGCTGTGGAGGCCTAGTGGGAGGGGACCCTGCTGGCTGAGGTCTAGGCCATCCCAGCTTTCCCTCCAGATTGGCTTGTGTTGGGTTGTGGAACTCAGTAGGCTGGCTTTGTCCTGATGAATGGGAGGTGAGAGAAACGTCTAGGGAATACCTCCCACCTGGGGAGTCCCAGAGGGGTAAGCCTGCAGCAAACAGCAGACCTGGATTCCAGCCTCTGGGACTGCGCCTCCTTCCCTCTGCCTCCCACTCTTCCAGGGCCCAGAGGCAAAATAGTGGTTCTGGCACAGAGATAGCCCATGACCCACTTAAAACCGAGCCAGGACTGCGGCCCCTCCCCTAAGGGGCCTCGCAGGGCAGGGCAGGAAAAAAGAGCAGGGCGTGAAGTTGCCAGTGGGTAGCCCCCAGCCATAGGGCCACACTTTTCCGTGCAGCCTGGAGTCTTTCAGGGAAAGACAACGTGTTCGCTCTTCTTTCGGCAGAGGTTTCCTACAAGCTTGGGCCTAGGACTGGGGGCCAAAGCGCAGGAAGCCAAATTCAGATCCCATCCCCCTTCTTTGGCCTTTCCCGGCCCCTCCCAACCGCACCCAGGCCCTCGGCCGGCCGGAGTGGGTTGGGATGGCCCAAAATAAGAAGCTGATTAAATCCGTCTCCCACCTTCACCCCAAAATAAAAGAGTGAGAGGAAAACTTCTCAGGCAACTCCCACGCTGCTTCCTCTCGGGCCCGATGGGCCACGGTCAGGGAAATGGTGAGGACCGAGGTCGGATGCCCTGCGCTGGTCCGCTCCCTAGTCCCGGTGCAATGCCCCCAGTCACCGTGCAATTAACGCAGAAAAACAATTAACGTCAGGAACAAAAAGGCCTAAAGGCGCCGGCGGGGTGGGGACTGAGGAGGCAGTGGCCTGGCTGAGCCCAGGGCTCACAAGGAGCGCTTTGTGCGCATGGAAACGCGGCCAGCACGGCGACCCTGGGGGCCAGGGCTCGGGGCCGGCACCCAGAAGGGTCCCTAGCAGCGTGGGGGCGCAGCAGACAGCGGCAGGCTGCAGACGCGTCCGCACAGGGCTCACTGGCCCGGCTCGCAGCGGGCGCGGGAGCGCAGGAAACTTGTGGAAACAAGAAACTTGCACATGACACCAGCGACGGCGCAGGGCCGGCGCGGAGTGTGAGGCTGCCGGGCTCCCAGGGTCCCGGCACCCAGAGCACAGCCCAGGGCAGGGAGGCGGCGCCCCCATTGTGAAGCTCTTCCAGGGAAAGAAGGAATGGGGAAGCAGGTCGGCGGCGCGGAGGCGGGTTGTGAGAGGCAGGGAAAAGTTTAGTGGATCGGAAGTTTGCAGACCAGGAGGACCAGCGCGGGACAGGGTCCTGCAGACCGGGGCGGCGGGGTCCGAGAGCCCCTGCTCCGCGGGCCGGGCCCGTCCCCGCCTGACCCCCGGGCTCGCCTCCCTCCTGGCGGGCGCGGCCCCAGGAAGGGCCGAGGGGCTCACTTACCTCGGGGCTGAAGTTGCTGCTCTGGGTCAAGCCGAGGGAGGCGAGCGCGGTGCCGAGCGTGAGCAGGGGCAGCAGGAGGCTGCGGGGGCCGCGAGACATGGTCCGAGACGTCGGGGAGCCGGGGCGGCCCGTGCGGCTCCCAGCGGAGCCCGCGCCCTGGGGTTCGCGCTGCTCCCGTCGGGCGCCTTTGTCTCCGGGAGGCACTGAATTTGGATTCCGAGAGCGCGGTCGGCTTGGAGATGACGGGATTGTTTCTCAAAGGGCCTGTTTGCTCTTCTCCTTTCCGTTTTTTGATCTTTCTTCTGCTTAGTCGGCGAAGTGGGCCGGGAGGCTTCTCTGCTCTCCCGTTTGGTCCCTCCCTTCTCCCGCAGCCTCTCCTCCCGTCACCGCCCTAATGCCCTCCTTTCCTTGTGGGGACGTGGTTGTTACAGCCTGAATCCAATTACAGCCAGGAGGGACAGGGAGGGCGGGGGCCGCAAAGTTGCCTTTCTGTGGTGCAGACTGCCATCTGCAGGGGTTGAGGCCACAGCGGACCACTGGGGGGTGTAGGGAGGCCCAAGGGCTGGACCTTGGGAGACTTTGTCCTCCTAAACACATTGCAAGTAGCTTGATACCTGTGGAGTCAGTACTTACCTCATTTCAGAGGGGAACACACCAGGAGGTGAGGGGGTCAGGGCAAACCGGAAGCTCAGGTCTGGGTAGTGGTGGGGACTGGTCTTTCATGTCCCTACACTGGGTGCCTGTTGGAATCTATTTACAATAACCTCTGCTCCCAAAGCAAAGTGTAACAAAACCCAGCTGTCAACCCCAGTCACACTGGGTCTGGGGGTCCAACCTTGTAGAAAGATGTGCTCTCCCACTTACTGTGGTTTACAGTCTGGGTGCTCCCTAAATTAGAATTGCTTGGGTAGGGAAGGGGTACAAAACAATGGAATTTGGGGAAAAGCAAATCAAGTTTAGTAAAACTGTTGGAAAAAAGGGTGGGATTGGAGGTTAGGGCTTTGAAGTTTAGTTCTGCGTTTTCACTGGACTGGAAAAGGAGGTGAATTTCTTTTTTCTTTTTTTTTGAGACAGGGTCTCACTGTGTATAGTCCAGGCTGGCCTTTAACTTACTGTTTACCACAGTCTGGCCTCAAACTCCCAGTGATCCTCCTGCCTCAGCCTTTCCAATTATGGGATTACAGGCTTACACCACCACATCTGCTGGCAATTCTTTAGAGTAAAATCTTCAAAGAAAAAGGGGCAATTACTTAAAGAATAAAATTTTCAAGACTGGACTCAGAACTAAAAGTGAGGAGGAAAAGGAGGCAATTAAATGTAAAACTGTCAGTGATTCTAGAAGAAACAGGAGTATGGTGTGAACATGAGGAAACAAAAGAAAGCAAGGGAAGTGTGCCACCGTGAATTGAATGCTTATTCTCAGAGATGAGAGACTCCTAGAAAAGCATAAATAGAAACCTAAAAAGGAAGAAAAGAAAGATCCTAGTGCTCTCAAGGAAAGGAAGTCTCCCAACATCCTTCCTGTTTATTCTTCCAGTGTGTCACACAGCTGGGCCCACCTTTACTCATATCCTGGCCGATACCAACTTTATCAACTTTTGCATCAAAGCCAAACTGGACTTAGTACAATCAATGATAGACTGCTTGAATACTAAGTTTATCCGTTGTATAACTGATTGTGTAATGGCTGAAACTGAGAAACTGGGACAGAAGTATCGAGTGGCTCTAAGGACCGCCAAGGATCCATTATTTGAAAGATAACCCTGCACACTCACAGGGCCTATGTGGATAGCTGCTTAGTGCAGAGTAACTCAGCACCAGTGTTACACTGTGGCCATGGTTGAACTGACCTTAACCTGGGAATCCAGAAGATTCCTAGAGTTCCTATCCTATGCATTTCTAAACACAGATATAATATCCAGTGGATGCCAGATGATTATGGAGCCCCTCAGTTCTATTTCTTATAAGACAAAATTCCTCTGCCTTCTCCCAACTAACTTTCTGTTTTTAGTTTACTAAATATGCTATAGCATGAATTATCATTTTTAAGGTTATAGAAACCTTGCCTAACTTATACAACATGAATTATTATTCACCCATTTGCTCTATTATCAGCCTAATATGGTTAAATACATTCACTTTTTCGGGGGGCAGAGGTACTGTGGGGTGCGGAGACAGGGTCTCACTATTAGTTCAGGTTGGCCTCAAACTCACAGCGATCCTGCCTTGGCCTCCTGAGTGCTGGGATTACAGGCATGCATCACCACGTCTGGCCTCTATACATAAATTCACTTTTTGAAAATGATAATTTAATATTTGTTGCATTATATTTTTATAAATCAGGTGTTCCAATGGTTGTTCACATAATTTTTTTACTCAACAAATATTAAGTTTATGCTAGGTACTTATTAAGGTATGCTCCTGTCTTGAAGACACAAATAAAAGAGAAAAACATACAAATGAAAAAAAGTCAGGTGTGATGGTGCCCACTTATAATGCCAGCACTGCAATATCTCGGCCAGCCCAAATTACATAGTGAGACCTTACCTTTACAGGGAGATCCAGAAGGATGTGTGAATCATTTTTGTTCTTAGCCCGTTGCTTAAGAGTTCTGGCTGCAAGAAAAGTTGAAGTCTCCAGTTAGAGGACACAGCTAGAAACACGGATGTTCTATCACTGTACAAAAGGGAGGCATGAGTACCTCAGTGTTTGCATGGAGATACAAAGTCATATGGCCTGACTGTACTTGACATGGTCAGATGACTGCCAAGACATTTTTATGACTAAAACATAAACTCATGGAGAGATAGGGTCTGACGTCATTTCAAAGGTTTTGGACTTGATCTTGAGAATTCTATTTCTGTGCAAGTTATTTTACTCCTTGATATAACAAGCAACCAATCAGATTTTCCAGAGTATGTATTTAAGGGTGTGAGGAAATGGGTGGGTATTCATGACTTTTTCATGTTTTTTATTAATACATACTTGCCATACATATTGATCACACTTATAGGGAATTTGTTCCTGTATGTCTTTTTCTGTTTTTTTGAGACAGGGTCTGGATATGTAGCCCACACTGGCCTTGAATTCATGGCGTTCTTCCTGCCACAGCGATTTTTTTTCCAGTCCCCTTTCTTCCTCTTGACCCTGCTCGCTCTCGTTATACAAACTCTGCTTTTTTCCCTTCCAGTCTGTGGGTATTCATGTTGAGGAGTGAAACAGGCAAATATGTATAACCACTTTTTTTTTTAACCTGGAGTCTAGTTTGAGAAATGTATAACCACTTTTGACAGAACCCATTAAAATAAAAATTATTGCTATCCTGTTGAGGGCAGAAAAAAGTAAAATCTTCAGACTGACTGGGCTTTGAGAATAACAGGTGAGTTATGCAGGGCACGGGGAGGGTGGCCTAAAGCTTTCTGTGAGAAAGGGACACAGGTAAGAAAGAGGCTGAGAACTAGGTCTGGAAAAGCAGCAAAAAGCAGCACAACAGAAGCAGGAAAAGTGTGGGAGATAGAAAACTGGACCATCAGCGAAATCTAAGCTCCAAGAATTGCATTTGGTCAGGGAGAGGAAGGACCTAATGGGGGGAAGGGAGGGAAAGAAAAGCAAAGAGAGTATAAAGGGGGAGGGGCTGACAAAAAAAACAAAAACTGAGGTCAGGTAGGAAGCTCCAGAAATGCTAGGGATCCAACTATTGTTTGAGGCAGAAAGATGGTTGTCTAACGCCCAGTCCTGGAAGGGGTACAAAGTCCTTTGCCCTGGAATCCAGAGGGATCATGATCAATAAATAAAAGGCTTCTCAGGTCCTCGGCAACTTGAGTCTGTGGGAGGTGGACCGCGGGAATTATTGGTCTCACAGTGACTATCTGGGGACTGAGCACTTATGTAGGGTGAGGAGGCACTCTTAACCAACCCTTGGAATTCATTCCCAACTACTGCAGGTCTCAGAACCCAGCACCCAAGTTTGGGTCTCCCCACACCAGCCTGGCAGTATGATATCCTGCTGGGTCTACTGAACCTGAGGGAGACTGACACCAGCTATGTGCTGAGAAAGAGGTCTTAGCTAGATATTTTTTGTCTAAGCTTGCTTTTATTTACTTATTTTTCCAAGTACTTATGAAATAGCTACAGCACATGGCTGAGCTACTATTGCATACATCATGAAAGACATGCATGCTGGCTAAAGCCAGGAAAACTGCTGCCTACTTTTCATGTTCACAGAGCAACTATTGCTAGTAAGTTGGGCCAGTCCTGTGGTCCACAAAGGAGGGGACAAAAGCCTTACAGAACATTCAATGCAACTGGTGGAGCAAGGGATCAGGGCTCTGAGCCACTTCCTGAAGATCTTATGGCCTGTTCTTCCTGGTGTGCCACCTCGTTTTACATGGAGGTGGGGGGTAACAGGACAGGACACAAGGCTCTCTTCTAGCTGAGATGAGACATCCAGGTGGTGGAAAAGAAAGCCAGAAAGGCTGGGCAGGGGCATAAGAGTTGCTTCCTATTGACTTTCCAGTGAGCTCTGCAGCAATGTCCCTTTGCGCTTAAGAGCGTTTTTCTGTTTCTGTTCTTCCTCTTGCAGCTTCTCCTGCTGCCTGAGCTGCCAAGCCTGTAACCCAGCATCCATTTCCTGTGACAGCAGTACCACACGTCTCTGAAACAGACAGGAAAACCATGGATAATATCTGGAGCGTGAACACTACACCACACATCCTTTCTTTCAGAGTCAGAAGATTCAGCTAGAAATGAACACTGCTGACTTGGCAACCAGTGCACCAAACCCTGTGCTGGGAAGCAGAGGGAAGAAAATTTGAGGCAGAACACCCACCACTGAGTTCAGCCCTGGAAGCACCCTGCTCGCTTCCTCTCTTCTTGCAGTGTTAAACCATTTGGTTGATAAACCTTGGTATGCAGCGTAAATGTTAACTTACATGTAACATCATTCAAGACAACTTTTTTTTTTTTGTTTTTTTCCTTTTTATCAGTACCAGAGATCGAACTCATGACTCCCTACTTGCAAGGCAGGCGCTTATGCCGCTGAGCTAAATCCCCAGCCCCTAAGACAACTTTTTAAAACAAATTTTTAAGACAGGCTCTTTCAGTGTAGTCCAGGCTGGCCTTGTACTCATGGCAATTCAGTCTCAGCTTCCTCAGTGCTGGAATTACCATCATGTGCCACCATACTCCTGATTTTTTTTGAGACAGGGTCTTACTATGTAGTTTGGGCTGACTTTGAACTCACTAACATGTAACAATTCCCCTGCCTCAGCCTCTGGAGTACTGGGATTACAAGACTATACCACTTCACTTAAGACAAATTTTGATCTAAAAGTATCCCTCCAGTTCTACAGAGGCAGCCCAGCTGGAGCTCTAGCAACTCACTGCAAACTTTTCCCTCTGGGCTTTTCTTTGAAGCTGTCGTTTCATTGGAGGAGCAGGACGACCATCTGCGGACAGAAGGGAGAGAAAAGGCAAGTGTCAGAAATGATCAACATCTCCTCCTAACAGCAATGAGAATACTCCTCTCCTCCATTTCATACCCACTGTAGCTTAACTCCTCTAAGTCTCTTATCTTCAAGAGTGGGTACAACAGACCCTCCATGAGCAAATTCCTAGGCATCTACTCTATTTACTTAACCCTTATTAGCCTGAAATTCAAGGTAATCTGCAGAGCTGAGCCCTTTATGTGCTGGGTGTGGCATGCAGACTCAGAATCCCAGCACTGAGGCTGAAGCAGAAGGACTGAGAGTTCAAAGCCAGGCTGGGGTATATATTGAGTTCAAAGCCAGGGATGGCAGCACACGCCTGTAATCCCAACACTTGGGAAGCTGAGGCAGAAGAACTGCCATGAGTTGGGAGGCCAATTTAGACTACATAGTGAGACCCTGTCTCAAAGAACCAAAAAAACAATCAGGTACATAAACAACAACAACAACAAAAAAACCATTTAGGAGATTAGGAGTGTACTTCAGTGGTAGTGTCTGTTTAGCACACAAGCAACCCTGGATTCATCATTAAAAAAAAAATCAGGTATATAAAATTTCAATCCTTGTAATATTTCTCCACACACTACTGCAAAGAGATCCAGTTACTGGTTAAGCAACAAGTGAAAAAATTTTTTCACTATACTCAGTCACCAGGTACCTAAATAAGCAGGACCAGGTTCCTTGAGCATCCACCAGTGTATCACTACCTACCTCACTGTGTTGTGCAGAAGGCCCCTCCATAATTCAGTTCTAGCTTGGCTTCTGCTGCTACCTACTTGTACTATCACAGGCATTTTTCACTTCAGCATGCCTCAGTTTCCTACTTGCAAATGGAATCTAGAGTGGGGAACACATCTCAGCGGTATCCCCCTCCCACCTTTGAATATATCTATATTCTCTCTCTCCCCTTCCTACTCTTTTTGAGACAGGGTCTCCTTATACTAGCTTGGTCTGCCTCGGTTTCTTAAGGGCTGGATTACAGACAAGTGCCACTATGCCCTGTTTCTATTTTCTTGAGAGAGAAGACTTCTGGGGCTGGGGGTTTAGCTCAGCGGCATAAGCGCCTGCGTTGAAAGCAGGCAGTCGTGAGTTCGATCCCTGGTACTGATAAAAACGAAAAAGACAAAAAAAAAAAAAAAAAAAAAAGAAAGCAGGCAGTCATGAGTTCGATCCCCAGTACCGATAAAAAGGAAAAAGACAAAAAAAAAAAAAAAAAAAAAAAGAGAAGACTTCTTTTTGTCGTTTTGAGACAGGCTCTTGGGTTGTAGTTCAGGCTGGCTTTAAATCACTGGTGAACTTCCTGCCTCAGCCCCTCAAATGCTGGGGTGACAGATGTGCACTACCAGGAGGGCTGAAAAAAGACTTTTGAAAGAAGCTTCTGTCCTCAGTCTCTATCCTCTTGCATTTGGTATAATTTTGGTATGAAGTCTCAAGAGTATTCACACTGAACGGCTTCTTCCTATTTGACTATCATGTCCCCTTTGACCCATGTTGAGTTTGTCTCCCCTCCCCCGCAGTCCCAGGACGGCCCCCGTCGGAATTATCTTCTGCTCATCCCCGAAACCAAGCCGATCCTTTCTATCTTTATTTTCCGTAGTCGTAGTTTACTTGACAAAAATAAACAAGAGAGCTTCTTTTCCCAAACTCCCCTTCCCAAAAACTGAGCCAGACACGGCCCACGCCGCCCCACGCCCCCGCGGCCGGCAGCCTGGAGTAAAGACGCGCAGGGGCAGCGAGTCCGGAGCTCACCCGCGTACGACCAGTCCGGGAGCTCGGTGAGCGGCCCGTAGCCGGAAGGGCTGGCGGCCAGGCCCTGCCTGCGGGGGGGAAAAAACAGTCCGGTGAGGCCCTGCTCCGCCTGCTGGACCCCGCGCACCCCCACCCTGCGCCCAGCACTCACTGGAGGCGCCACTGGCCGCCCGCCCGAGCCGACGCGCTGCCGTGCAGCCTCCGGACACCTACTGGGAAAACAAGACAGCGTTACAGCACTGCCCGCACAGGCAGTGCGGGGTCGCAGGCCGGCCCCTCTCGAGCTTCCGAGTCCATAGCCCTGACCCACTCACTCAAGAGCAAAGTTCCCAAAGCGGCCATGCTGGTGCGGAGCAGCCGGAAGTGGGCGTGGCCCTGATGGCCACGTGTGGTGCTGCTGGGAGAGTGGAAAGCTGCCATCTTGAATCGGTTTTCAGTCATGGGCTCCGCCATCTTGGGTCGGCGTACGGAAATAAGGAGCCAATACAGCTTTGGTTTTAGGCTAGAACCAATTGCTGTCCACTGCTTGCAACCTCGGTGGTGGTCGTTTCTTCAGCGGAAGTCGTGATAGCCTGATAGAATTGTTCTGAAATGTTCCCAATGGACTCTGCCCAGTGGTCTCCAGTCTTGAAGTTTATAGTAACTTTTTTTTTTTTTTGAGATAGTGTCCCGCTATGCAGGACAGACTAGCCTTGAACATATTAAGTCGCCCTGGCTGGCCTGGAACTCACAGCGATCCTCCTAGCTCAGTGTCCTGACTACTGGGACTGTAAGCTTGTGCCACTACCTCCTGCTATTATCGTTTAACTTAGGCACAGTACCACGTAATGGTTATATAGTCTCCCGCATCACTAACATTTTTCTCAGACTGAGTGATCAAATCTAGACCGAATCTGATAATTTTGTTTTTAGGTCTCACTCATTTATCCAACAAAATTGAAGTTGTATTACAAAGTGCAGCAGTAGGTGTAGGAGATTATGTGGCGAGTACAACCAGATGTCATCACCATCAATCACAGAGCTCCTCTAACCTCTCTATAAAAGGTAGTAACAAGTAGTCACACATGTGATTGCAGTACATGTTGTTTGTGAGCATGTATAATTGGGAATGTGAGCCTATTTTAATGGTAAATGCAGGTAAACCCAGCTACTTCAGGAGGCTGAAGCAGAAGGATCTCAAGTTGGAGGTCTACTTGGGCCAATTAATTTTTTATTTTTATTTTATTTTTTATTTTCATTTTTAAAGCCAGTCAAATTTAGCAGTGGGGGGGTGGTGGTATACCAACTTTAGTGACACTAATGTTAATAAGTTCTGATAACCCACTGCCATCGGACCAGCTGCTTGGGCCAACTTAACAGCACCCTGTCTCATAATGAAAAAGGGAGAGGGATGCAGCTCAGTATCAGAGTGCTTGTGCAAGGTCTGGGTTCAATTCCCCAGTAGCAAGAAAATAAGTTTTTCTGCGCCTAGACTAGGGTCCCACCTCAAAGGAATCTCATTATTTATATGCAAGCATTAAAATATTTGAAATTGGAGTTTACTCCCCCTCCCTAGTCCCCCTGGTGCTGGAGATTGAACCCAGAGCTTTCTCATTGAGCTATATTTCACCCCTTTATATTTTTCATTTTGAGGGACTTGCTAAATTACAAAAGTTGCCAACAGCGCTGGACTGGAACTTGGAATCTGCCTCAGCCTCCCAGAGATTACAGATGTGTGCCAACTTGCCTGGTATCTGAAGACACTTTTGATACCAAGCATTTCAAAGAAAAGATTATCTGTCTAGTAAATGTCAAAGCCAGATCTGTGATTCTCCCTCCTTTTTATCACAAGCTATTCAATACTGCTGTGGGAGAAGTCATTTGTCCTTAATGTATTAATTTCTAAAAATACCTAACATTGGTGAGAACAAAAACTTTCAAAGTCATAAATGTAAGTAAAACTGCTTTATGAAGCTCCTACGAAAGTGCACGATACTGTCAACTAGGCCAGACCAGGTTAGACATTTAAGCACTTGCTGACTGGGGGAACCTGAGGGAGTGGTATAATCGCCTCTTTGGAAGTTTATCATTTCCTTCTGCAGGACTGAAGTTTTTCCACAGGAGGTGGCTTTGGGTTGTGCTTTGAAAGAGGGGAAGGGTGGATCCTGGTTTAAGAAAAGCAGCGATTTCAATAACAGTGAAAATAGTATAGGCTAGGGCTGAACAGGAAAAGGGGATGGGAACAAAAGAAACTCGGCTAGTGGCCAAGCAAGGGAAATAAGACAGGATACCACTACTGTCTTGCAGTCCTCGGCTTATTATTTTCTCTTCAAATGCTGAAAATTAAACCAAAGGCCTTGTGTATGCTAGGCAAGCCCTCTATTACCGAACTATGTCCCCCACCTCACACACTACATTTTTACTTATCAAAACACATAATTTATCAAAATTCATAATTTACCTGAAAAGTAGGTAAGACAGTTTAGGGAGCGAGCTATCACTGTACACATTTGCTTGTAGTTTCTAGGGACCTGGAAATGTGGCTGTTGGACTAGGGATGAGGTTGTGTGTAGCGTGTCTGAGGCCAGGGGTTTCAGCTCAGCACCATGGTGGGTAGGCCAGGGGGAGGCCGTGGGTTTACTGTTTTATAGCTACTGTAGTTGCAGGATAAAGACAGAGCGGGTGCTGATCCTAGACTTGGCTCCACACGCCTTTGGTAGTGTTATGGAATAGTTTGTTTAGAAAAGACTCCCCAGTCAAAGGTTTTCCAGATTCTTCTTGCCTCAAACATAGAACTGGATGAGATAAACCAATAGCGGTGCCAGAAAGTATATTTGAAAAGTGTGAGGTAAATGGGTACGGGAGAAACCAACTCTGCAGAGCAAACTTAGGCCACACAAAGAGAAAAAGAGGGTAGAAGCAAAAAATAAAAGTACACGCTAGTTGTGGGCGAGCATGCACACTCACACAGGACGTGCTTTCTGGAATGGCAGCTCTTTTATTCTGTCCAGTCTGCATGGGAGCTCATGAGAAGTCCTGGGTTGCCTTGGGATCTCATAATGGACAGATGCTACTCATTTCTTCAGCCAGTTTTGCCTTGGCCTATCTCCCGTAACATTTCTCCCTGAGAGACACAAATCTACTCATCTTCACGAGGTGCTGAGGGAGGGGAGGTCTCTGTCTTCTGTAGCTCTTCATGCTGGCAAGGCTGTAGACTCTGCCCACTACGATTCTGTACTCTCCAATACCTTGGGCTACTGTGGCCTGTGGCTGCATTGAGGGAAGAAAAACCTGTCCAAAAATAATGAGAAAAGACTTAGTGAGTTGTCTGTTTTATGGGAGAAAGAAACTTTACAATTAGTCCAGATATGAAGAGGTCAGACTTCCACACTTCCTTTGGAGAAAAATGTTTGTTAGAAAGGTTTGTCAGATAAATTACCAAAGGCCTAAGAGCCTTGGCCTTAGCAAGGTCTTGTTTACTTATCTGTAGCACTCCTGGAACTTTTCGCTTTGAAGAAAAGGTCCAGAGGTTTGTAGGAGTAGCTTCTTTCTTTTGGGTGATCTTGTTCTTAGACAGTTCAGGTGGGACTAACTTTATTCTAGCAAGATGAATCCAATTATCTCTGCTACCTTTACTGCAGTGGGTGTTGCAGGGATCAAGGATCATTGAAAAAGGGCCTTTCCATTTTGGCTTTAGCTGCTCAACTGCTGTTTCCTTTCTCCAACAAGTTTTTATGAGCACTTGGTCTCCAGGATGGTCCCTAGGTGGTCCCACTGAGCTGGCCAAGAGCTGGCAGGACTTTGTTCCCTTGATGTTCAGATGTTGTTTGTTCTTGGCCCAGACCAATGAGGTACTGTAGGAGTCTCATGATCTCTGGGTCTACCGTCATGTCAGAGGGTACAAATGGTCTTCTGTATGACATCTCAGTTAGACTCAAGCTTTGCCCAATTTTGGGCATGTTTTGAATCCCATGAATGCTGTTAGTAGCAGTCAGAGCTAGGATTCAGACGCGTCTTGGCATAGTTTTGCCAGAGCTTGCTTTAGGGTCTGATTGGCTCTCTCTGTCTTTCCAGAACTTGGAGGCTACCAGGTAGAATGAGGCTGGTACTTTATTCCTAAAGACTTTGTCACTCCCTGAGCTATTTGAAAGGTAAAAGAAGATCCACTGTCACTCTGGAGACACTGGGGGAGTCCAAATCTAGGGATGATTTCTTTTTATTTATTTATATAATTTTTTTTGTCCTTTTGAGACAGGGTTTCACTCTGTAGTTCAGGCTGATCTTGAACTCATTTTGTAGCCCAGACTAGACTCAAACTCACAGTGATCCTCATGCCTCAAGCCTCCAGAGTGCTAGGATTACAGGTGTGCATCACCATGCCCTGTCTTAGAGGAGAATTTTCCAGAGAAGGAAACCAAAACAGAATGAGCTACCCCTGTATCTATAAGCAGTTGAATTGGTTTATCCATGACATCCCAGATTACCCAGGGTTTCTTGGAGGAGATGGTGGTGTTTGGAGACAAGGACATTGTAGGTTCCCCCAAGCACTTTCTGTCTCTGTCTCTGTCTCTCTCTTTTGTCTTTTTGAGGGTCTCGCTATGCGATTCAGTCTAAACTTGAGCTCACTTTGTAGCCCAGGCTGGTCTCGAACTTGCAATGATTCTCCTGCCTCAGCCTCCAGAGTGCTGGGATGGTAGCTATGTGCCACCATGGCCAGCTCCCCAGTCTCTTTTTGTCATCAGAGCAGGAAATGAGGGTTCTGGCTGGCCTGGCCCTTCTCTGGAAGTGGGGACAGTCAAACCTCCAGTGCCAAGAGTCACTGCCTCACATTTAGAGCAGGACCCAAGGGAGTCGAGGTGCAATCTTGTGCCTAGTGTCCAGTCTTCTTACCCTTGAAGCAGGAACCCTTTCCTCAGATGTCCCAGGGTTTTTCCTTAGGTGACCTGCATGAGTTTAAAGCACCACTACTGGTAACAGCTATAATCTTAGCCTTTTTTTTTTCTTTCCCCTCTGGGTCCTGATTATTGAACACGGAAAAGGCTGTGTCCAGAAATTGGGTTATCAGTATCTGAGGCCCCCTCTGAAGTTTCTGTAGCTTATGTCAAATATGTGAGGCAGACTGACAGGTGAAATGTCCTATTAGTGCCTCTCCCTCCCTGGAAAATGGGTCCGTATGACTGTACTGGAGAAGGGCCTCTGCTAATTAGTTACAAAACAAAGCTGGATTTTGTTCTGTGTTCTGTAAGACCTCACTCACTTCATACAATTAACAGAATCTTTAATGCACCTTTTCATCACCATAGTAAGAGCAGCTATCAGACATCATTTCTAGTCCATGCTGAGTATTATGGTCCTAGTTGGGCTCTGTTGTGGGGAGAATATCCTCTCCAGGGTGGTTCCTTTCCTTTTTTTAAGGCATATGGT